TTTTTTTTAATCCAACTAAAACATACAAATGCAGATGTTCCTTAATAATAATATATGGATCCTTTAAATTAAGCAAACAAGCACTTAAATACTATTTGGGAAGGTACTGATAACTTGAAACCATTTAAAACTTATCAACTTGAAATTTCAAACTTATTGTAACCATAAACAAAATATTCTTTATACCAAGTAGAAATCAAGCTGCAATAACAGGGAAAATGCTTTAACCAGGTTCCATAACTAACTGTATCTAAGGAACATTGGAAAAACACAAACCTTCTTTTCAAAGTACATTTTAGGGAGCAGGCATTTGGCCTAGCAGAGAAGATGCCCACCACCTGTATCAGAGTATGTCGGTCTCTTATAGAATGGCAAATGCCCTAAACAGCACTCTGGCCTCAGAATCAGCCCTTAAGGAATTCAGCTCTGGCTAAAAAAGGTCCATGAGAGTTTCTCAGGCATGGAAAGCCAAGACACTGTGGCAAAAAAATGACTAAATGAAAGATCTCTGTGAGCGAGATCCCAGCAGAAAGAACAGGCCATCAAAGAAGGAGGTACCTTTCTCTGAAGGGAGGAGAGAACTTCCACTCTATGGCCTAGTCTAAATAAGGTCGGAGTTTATGAACTCAAGAGGCTTCCATAGCCTTGGCAACTCACGACAAGAGCCTCGGGTGATTACTGACTTCATAAATAAGAGTGTCAATTGTTAAATTAACAACAGGAGTCACTGTGCACGTACTCCCCATGTAGGACCTCTGTCCTTAATGTGTTATACTATGGGAATTAATGGTAAAGCTAATATTCAAACAGTACTTTATACTTTGTCTGTGTGGGTGCAATCTGTTGAAATCTCTACTTAGTATATACTAAGTTGATCTTCTGTATATAAAGATAATTACAAATGAATCTTAATGAAGAATGGGATGGGAGAGGGAGTAGGAGATGGGATGGTTTGCAGGTGGGGGGTGGTTATGGGGGGAAAAAATCCAAAAGTTGTATTTTCGAAATTTATATTAAATAAAAGTTAAAAAAACACAATTATGTTGGCCCGATTCCAGTGTGGGCTCCTGATTCCAGCTTCCTACTAATGCAGACCCTGGAAACCAGCAGTTAATGGCTCAAGTAATTTGGATGTCACTCAACATAGGAGAAATGGATTCAGTTCTTGTCTCCTGGCTTCAGCCTGATCAAGCCCTGGTCATTGCAGAAATTTGTGGAGTGAACCACTGGATACAAGGGTTTTCTCTTTCTCTCTCAAATACATACTAAATTAACAAAAAATTAAGTATCTTTACTTTTAAGAAAACATATTCCATGATCACAAGATATATGAAATTATTCTAGCATCACAGGTGCAATTTATATTCTATTTGCCAAAGTGTAGAGGTAAACATCTAACTCATGTTAATCTAACTCGAAAAATCAAAAAATAAACCAAATGTTTTAAAACATGTAAAGCAGACATAATTGGTATTTACAAATATTTCAAGGCAGGCACTGTGGTGCAGTGGATTAAGCTGCTCCTTGAGATGCTCGTATCTCTGGCTATTCTGCTTCTGATCCAGCTTCCTGGGAGATAGCAGATGATGGCTCAAGTGTCTGGGGTCCCTGCCACCCAAATGGGAGACCTGGATGGAGCTGCTGGACCCTGGCTTTGGACTGGCCCAGCCCCAGCTATTGTGAGCATTTAGGGAGTGAACCAGACAATGGAAGATCTGACTCTACTTTTTCAAAAAGATGAAATCATTTTTTCAAAAAAAATTCAATTATTAATGTGTAGAATTCTGAACATCTTTAAACTGCTTTTAACAGAATTTGAGAACACCCAAATTCACATCAGTACTTTTTAACATTTTTCTTTACCCCTGTTTCTTCTTTTATCATAGCTCTCTACCCTCGTAGGAGACCAGGAGGAAGCACCTGGCTCCTGGCTTCAGATCGGCGTAACTCCAGCCATAGTGGCCATTTGGGGGGTGAACCAATGGAAGGAAGACCTTTTCTCCGTCTCTCTCTCTAACTCTGTCAAATAAATTTTTTTAAAAAATTTTTTTAAAAATTAAAAAATTAAAAATTAAAAAAATTAAGAAAAGACTCCTAGTGGATCTTACAACTCAAGTGAGCCATATATATACCCATATATATTTGCAAAATATATTTCACTATAACTAAAGTTCCTAGTATTATATTTAAAATCTGAAATTTTAAATCAAACTTCAAAGTATAGAGTGAAGTCTTCCACAAATTTGTTTCCCAGCCACCTAGTTCCCCTCTTCATAAGCAACTACTGCCATCAGTTTGACCAGAGATATTCTATGCATATTTACCCAAATGTGCATTCTCCTGCCCTTTACCATCTTTACAAATGACACCCCAAACATACACCCTGTTCTTTACTAAGGCTCATTCTAGAATACATATTTTAGGGGCTGGCACTGCGGTGTAGCGGGCAAAGCTGCTGCCTGAAATGCTGGCATCCCATATGGGTGCCAGTTCAAGACCTGGCTGCTCCACTTCTGATCCAGCTCTCTGCTATGGCCTGGGAAAGCAGTGGAAGATGGCCCAAGTCCTTGGGCTCCTGCACCCGCGTTGGAGACCCGGAAGCAGCTCTTGGCTCCTGGCTTCGGATCGGCCCAGCTCCAGCCCTTGCAGCCAGTTGGGGAATGAACCAGCGGATTAAAGACTTCTCTCTCTGTGTAACTCTTTCAAATAAATATTTTTTAAAAAGAATACATAAATATATAAATATATATTTTAGATATTGTATATAAATGTATGAAAAACCTATTAAAAATAGAAGAAAAGCCAGGGCCAGCACCATGGCTCAATTGGCTAATCCTCCACCAGCGGCGCCGGCATCCCATATGGGCGCCGGGTTCTAGTCCAGGTTGTTCCTCTTCCAGTCTAGCTCTCTGCTGTGGCCCGGGAAGGCAGTGGAGGAGGGCCCAAGTGCTTAGGCGCCTGCATCCTCGTAGGAGACCAGGAGACTAGGAGGAAGCACCTGGCTCCTGGCTTAGGATCGGCATAACTCTGGCCATAGTGGTCATTTGGGGGCGAACCAACGGAAGGAAGACCTTTCTCTCTGTCTCTCTAACTCTGTCAAATAAATTTTTTAAAAAATTAAAAAATTAAAAATTAAAAAAAAATAAGAAAAGCCTCCTAGTGGATCTTACAACTCAAGTGATCCATTTATGGATGCTAGTTAATGTACTGTCAACTACCTCCTACTGATGGACACTGAAGTCTCATCTAAATTTTTGTTATCATAAATAATGCTGCCTGAGTAACACTGAAAAGACAATCTTAGGTCAATTCTTTGTATCTTATTGACTTGAAAAGCAGAGTTACAGATAGAGAGAAATCTTCCATCTGCTGATTCAGAGCTGGCCCAGACTGAAACCAGGAGCCAGGAGCTTCTTCCAGGTCTCACACATAGGTGCGAGGGCCCAAGCACTTGGACCATCCTCTGCTGCTTTCCCAGGGCATTAACAGGGGGCTGGATCAGAAGTGCAGCAGCTGGGACTCGAGCCAGCAACCATATTGGATGCAGTTGTAGCAAGCAATGACTCTACTCCCTATACCACAACGCCGGCCCCAAGTCAATTTTTAAAAAGTATTCTTAAAAGTAAAATTTGCCATGATGACAAATACTGTCAAATTAGCCAAACTGCCCTCTAGTAATATGATAGCATAAATTTTCCCACACCTTTCCAACACACTGTTATCTCTTTATCACTGACAATCCACTGGGTGAAGATACAGTGTCTCAGTGTCATTTTAATCACAATTCTCTTCATTATGATTATACTCTTTCCATATTTTTTTCTTCTCTTTCCTCTTACCTGTTAGGAAATTTGGATTTATATATATTTTTATTGCCTTTTCTGTGATTTGTCAGTGTATCATTTGTCCGCTTTTTAAACTAGGTTGATCTTTTTAATATGCCTTTGTCCATGCGTGATTTATAGATATTTTTAATTCATTAATTTATTTATTTGAAATGAAGAGTGACATAAAGAGAAAGAGAGATCTTCTATTGACTGGTTCACTCCCCAGATGGCTGCAGAAGCCAGGGCTGGGCCAGGCTGAAGCCAGGAGCCAGGACTCCATCCTGGTCTTCTACATAAGTGGCAGGGGCTCAACTCGGGTCATCAACAACTGCTGACCCAACTGGTCCATTAGCAGGAAGCTAGACTGGAAGTAGAGCAGCTGGGACCAGAACCCAGGCTCTGGAAGCAGCAGTTGCACACCATACCACCAGCCTCCTATATTTAAAGAAATTAGCCACGAGTCTATTACGTTTTGTCCTGTTTGTAAAGTTTTCTGTTGAGTTTGTGATCTCCCTTTATCTTTGGTCATAGTAGTTTATGTCATGCAGAAATTATTTTATAATGATGCAAATTAATAGTTTTCATCTAATAGTGGGTTTTTCAAGATTGATTTATTTGAAAGGAAGCCTGAGACAGAGAGAAATAGACAGACACAAACAAACACAGAAATATCTTCCATCTGCCACTTCACTCTCCCCAAATACCTGCAACAGCCAGGGCTGGGCGAGGCCAAACCAGAAGTCAAAAACTCCATCCAGTCTCCCACGTGGGTGGCAGCAACCCAGGCAACCGAGCCATCATCTATAGCTTCCCAGGCACATTGGCAGGAAGCTGGATGGGAAGTAGAGGAGCCGGGACATGATCCTAGGCATTCTGATAGAAAATGTGGGCATCCGAAGCAGAGGCTTAACCCACTGTGCCACAACACCCCCCCCCCCACCCGATGGCTGATTTTTAAAAACTTAAGCATCTCATTCATTAGCCTACCTTCATATTCTAAGTAGTATTTGGTATCCTAGAGTTCTAATAGTCAGAAAATTTGGTCTTTATCAATCCTTAGACACCACAGTTTAGCCTTATCAATAAATATTTGATGTTGTCTTATTCTCTTCTGAGTTTTCCAACAATCAAGAATCTAGGTTATTTGACCTATAAAATTTTCTATAGATTAAATTTTTAATTTTTTTTTTTTTTTTTTTTTTTTTTTTTTTTTTTTGTAGGCAGAGTGGACAGTGAGAGAGAGAGACAGAGAGAGAAAGGTCTTCCTTTGCCGTTGGTTCACCCTCCAATGGCCGCCGCTGCAGCCGGCGCACCGCGCTGATCCGATGGCAGGAGCCAGGATCCAGGTGCTTTTCCTGGTCTCCCATGGGGTGCAGGGCCCAAGCACCTGGGCCATCCTCCACTGCACTCCCTGGCCATAGCAGAGAGCTGGCCTGGAAGAGGGGCAACCGGGACAGAATCCGGCGCCCCGACCGGGACTAGAACCCGGTGTGCCGGCGCCGCAAGGTGGAGGATTAGCCTATTGAGCCACGGCGCCGGCTTTATAGATTAAATTTTGCTAATGATCCAATTTAACCTGTTCTTATCCTCCATATTTCCTGCGAGCTGGATCCAAATACTTCTTCAGACAGCAGTTTGTTCCCTTTGGCAAAACTACAAGTATTTTTGCAATTGTCTCTGTTTATGAGATATTAATAGTTACACTGACATATAATGTCTGCATCCATTAACTTTTTAGAAACTGCAAAAAGTGGTATAAAATTCTATCATTTTTCACTTATTGAGTGACATTTTCTAAGGAGATGCTTCCCCTTATATAACTTGGTTATGCAATAGTACAGTTCACAGAAGATAAGCAGGATAAACACACAATTCTTCCCTTTGCCCTTTTATCCAGTTATCCTGTAGTGACTGGTCAGCTGTGGCTTTTATATTTTGCTAATTGTGGTAGACTATATATATATATATATATATATATATTTTTTTTTTTTTTGACAGGCAGAGTGGACAGTGAGAGAGAGAGACAGAGAGAAAGGTCTTCCTTTGCTGTTGGTTCACCCTCCAATGGCCACCGCAGCTGGTGTGCTGCGGCCGGCGCACCGCGCTGATCCAATGGCAAGAGCCAGGCGCTTCTCCTGGTCTCCCATGGGGTGCAGGGCCCAAGCACTTGGGCCATCCTCCACTGAACTCCCTGGCCACAGCAGAGAGCTGGCCTGGAAGAGTGGCAACCGGGACAGAATCCAGCGCCCCGACTGGGACTAGAACCCAGTGTGCCGGCGCCGCAAGGCGGAGGATTAGCCTAGTGAGCCGCGGCGCCGGCAGGTAGACTATATTTCTAAAACTGATTGTGTTTGCTTCCTCACATACTTTTCCAGATCTTTGCCACCTTCCAACCTCAGGAGACCTCAAGAGCCTGCTACAGAACCCAGAACCCCTAAGAATCAAGAGGTAATTTTTAATGTATTTACATTGTAAGTTATTTATCTGTTATTTTTAAATAAAAGTATATAATTTTTGCTATGTAATATAACAAAATAATTATGCTATTTAATATCTCCAAGTTTAGGGTAGTCTGTTCTACAGCTACAAATAACCAAATAAGTGTTTGAACCTGAAAGTGGAGCATACTGCTGTAAGAAGACATATAACACAGTAACCACTTTGGGACTGGTGGGGGTGGGTAGAGGCCTGGGCATGAGTGGTGGAAGAGGAAGGACCATAAAGACACTGTTACCACAAGCCTGAGGGGTTTCATACAGGCTGCTGGTAAAGACTTAAGGAAAGCAGGAAAAAAAATTGTTTTTGAAGCCTAGAGGGAAAGGGACCCTTGTTATGAAGTAACAGAAATTTCCCTAAATTACCATCTGTGTATGGAGAACAGAAAATTAGGTTACTAAAGTTACACCTAATGAGCTAACTGATGGATTCAGCATAAGAGTTCCAAGGAGAATGTTCAAAAGTATCAACTGGTTTCTCTTAGCTGAGTACAATAAGGATAAATATGAGCTTAGAAAACAAAAACTCATTTAACTGTCAAGGGAAGTTTAAAGGAAATAGAAGGCCAGGACTTGATTCTGAAAATATAACTTTCTCATTTTCAGCCTTTTATCAGTAAAAGCTATCTTAGGTAGAGAAGGGGTTCAAGACAGAGACCAAATTCAACTGTGTGACTCAAAGATCCTTTAAGAATCAGAAATATCTCAAGTGCCTCTCACAGAACCATTTTTTTAAGGTTTATTTATTTATTTGAAAGGCAGAGTAATAGATGGAGAGAGTGATCTTCCATCCACAGGTTAACTCCCCCAAAACAGCCCCAAGAGCAGGGGATGAGCAAAGCCAAAGCCAGCAGCCAGGAACTCCATCTAGGTCTCATATGCATAGCAGGAACTTAACATTTGAGCCATCAATTTATGAACCACCATCTGCTGCTTCCCAAGAACAGTAGCAGAGAGCTGGATCTGAAGCTGAGCATCCGGGACTTGAACTGGCACTCCTATATAGGATGTGGGTGTTCCAAACAACTGCTTAACCACCTGTACCACAACACCCATCCACTTTTCATGAATAAAGGTCCTTTAAGAATCTTAAGGGTATGCTTCCTAGATTCTTTCTGTCAAAACAGTAAGGCTACTCAGAATTTAAGGGCTTATCTCACAGCAGCCTAACAAGGAGCCAAAAATGAAAGGCTTGTCTTAAGATGTGTGTGTGTGGCATTTGTCTAATGGAGAAAGCCTCAGCAAGACTCACAGGAAAACCACAAAGTTGTTAAGAAAACCGTATTGATGAAAAACACATCCACTTAGATTTAAACAGGGAAAAAAGAACAATGAAGAGAGGCTTTTGGACACTAACTACAAAAGGATAGAAGGCTATGAAACTAAATAAGCTACAGTCTACATTTTCTGGAAGAGGAAGAATGATTCAAGGAATAGGAACAGGAGCCCAAGGATAGAACCAAAAGCTATAGAGAATCGCACCCAAGCAGGACTGAGCTTGATTCAAAGAATTAGCAACATATGTCCAGGCATACTTAATTTTTACATGTATGCATGTTTCTGCCTTTTTGAACAAAAGTATCTAGAATGGTTATCCTGTACCTATATTATTATATTCTGATGTACAGGGAGCAGATAATTTGTCTCTTTGATACACAGTCTTTAAGTTTACTTATTTATTTTTATTTATTTGAAAGGCAGAGCGAGAGCAGAGCAAGAGGGAGATCCTTCATCTGCCAGTTCACCCTCCAAATGCCTGCAACAGCCAGGGCTGGTCAAGCCAAAGTGAGGAGCCAGGAACTCCATCTGGATCTCCCACAAAAACCCAAGCACTTGAACCATCATTTGCTCCCTCCCAAGGTCCATCAACAGGAAACTGGGTTGTAAGCAGAGTTGAAGTCTGATCCCAGGCATTCCAACATGGGATACAGGCATCCCAAGCTGTAGCCCAATCTGCTGTGCCACAACATCTGCCCTGGTACAGTCTTTTGATCAAAAGAAGCAGTACTTACGGAGCCATAGCCTAGGGACCACATACACGATGTCTCATCCGCATTAGGATCTGGTTAGATGACAAAATACTGGTCCTAATGCTGTTATTATAATGCAATGAGATAATGAAGGATCTTGGGAAAGGTTGGGAATGTACAGTCATATCTCTGTATTCATGGAATTCAACAAAACTCTATTTGTAAATACTTGGGGAAAAACACACATCTGTACTGTGTTAGACTTATCTTATTATTCCTAAACAATATAGTGTATCAACAATTTAGACAGTGTTGACATTGTTATAAGGTATTACAAGTAATCAAGAGATGATTTAAAGTATACAGGAAGATGTACAATTAATCTGTGGAATACTTATTTTATAAGAGATTTAAGCATCTGAGAATTTTGGTATCCTCAGGGGTTCTGGAACCGATCTCCTGTAGATACTAAGGAATGATTATACGTGTATAGGGGAGGGATGTCAGTTGTAGCCAGAGTACTGAATATATTTTCCCAAAATGACTGCAATGCCTTTTCCTTTGCCACATGTTCTTTCAGAAACTTGCCACTTCTCCATCAAAAAGTGAGTTCTATGTACCCTTCCTTTAAACAAAGGCAGGCACTTAGTATACTAGACAGCAAAGTGATACTCTGCGCCACCTGAGCCTAGGACATAAAGAGGAAGTTTCTGCCTGGCTCTGTCTCTCCTTACACATGCAACCCAGCTGCCAAACTGGGACAAGGCCCAGACACATAAAGGAGGCACAAGTAGATGTTCCAGCCAACAGTCCCTACTGAGGTGTCAGCTGCAATCAGCATCAAGTGTCGAACATGAATAAAGAAGACTTAGAGATGACCCTAGCCCAGCTACTCACTGTCTGATGACAACCTCTGTGGGCCACTGAACAAGAACTGTCCAGCTGAGCCAAGGCAACTAACAGAACTCGATGAGGCAATAAAGTTCAACATAACTTGTTAGTAGTTAATCATAACAGTACCTTTTTGAAAGTAGAGATACAAACATTTTTGATCAATTTCAATACACTGCAATTTTTTAAGATTTATCTATTTGAAAGGCAGAGTCACAGACAGATCCTCCATCTACTGCTCTACTCCCCAAACAGCTGGAGCTGAGCAGATCTGAAGCCAGCAGGGGCCCAAGCACTGGGTCCATCTTCCATTGTTTTCCCAGGCACACTAGAAGGGAGCTGGATCAGAAGTGGAGCAGCTGGGACCCGAACCCGCACCCACATGGGATGCCAGCACTGCAGGTGGTGGCTTTACCCTCTATGCCACAACACCAGCCCCTGCAATTGGATTTCTGAACTAAAACTGAAATGCAATTGCAATTTGCCTATTCCGGATATGTTGTATAAATGGACTCACAACATACTCAACTGCCTTTTGTGTACAGCTTCCTTCACTGTTTTCAAGGTTTATCCACACTGTAACACGTGTCATAGACTTAATTTCTCCCTATGGTCAAATATAATTTTTTTTTTACAGAGATGTATGCCTTATTTTGCAAAACCATCACAAATGATAGACATTTGGGTTGCTTCTACCTTTCAACTACTGTAAACAGTGCTGCTATGAACAGGCACCTCCAAGTTTTTGTTTGAACTCAATTTTGGTCCTTTTGGGGAGCAACTGTAGGATCTTGTGGTAATTCTATGGTTATATTAAGGACCAACCCCTTAGTCTTTCATAGTAGCTGCATCATTTTACATTCTAACACTGTATGAGGGCTCCAACTTCTGTATATCTTCACCAATACTTGCTATTTTGTTTCTTTCTATTTACAAAATATTTATTTTTTGGAGAGCGTGCTCCCATCCACTGATTCACTCCCTAAACGCCTGGGGCCAAAGCTGGGAGCCAGGAACCCAATTACTTGTGCCAAAATTGCTGCCCCCATCCCCAGGGTCTGCATTAGAAGAAAGTTGGAGTCAGGAGCAGATCTGTGAATCTAACCCAGGTACTCCAATGTGGGAGCCAGGTGTCTCACCTAGCATCATAAACACCAGGCTAAAAGCCTGCCCCTATTCTGATTTTATTATAACCATTCTAGTGAGTGTGAACCAAGTATCTCACTGTGGTTTGAATTTGCTTTTCTTTGTGCCAAAGGACACTGGGTATCTTTTCCATGGACTTCTTTGCCATTTGTATTTCTGTTTTGGGTAAATGGCCTGGGAAAAGCCCCACCAGCCCAATGGACCCAGATGAGGCTCCTGGCTTTAGTCTCGCCCATCCCTGGCTGTTGTGGCCATCTGGGGAGTGAACCAGCAGATGGAATATCTGTCTCTTCCTCCCTCTGTAACTCTTACAAATAAATAAATCTTTAAAAAATAAAGTCAACTCTAACTAGGCTATCAAAATTGATCTTAATTAAGTTGGTTTGGTTGACTCTCAAGAACTTTTTAAGTTCTAAGCAGAAAAAACTTTGCACAGGCAAATAAACTTGAGAGGGCTAGATTAAGCTGACAGGCTAGGCCCTTCAAACTCAATACCCAAATCAAAAAGGTTGGGCCTGGTGGTACAGCGCTGGGACTCAGGAAAATGGAATTAAGACTGAACAGTGGCTGGTGCCACAGCTCACTTGGCTAATCCTCCGCCTGCGGTGCTAGCACCCCGGGTTCTAGTCCCAGTTGGGGTGCCGGATTCTGTCCCGGTTGCTCCTCTTCCAGTCCAGCTCTCTGTTGTGGCCCAGGAAGGCAGTGGAGGATGGCCCAAGTACTTGGGCCCTGAACCCGCATGGGAGACCAGGAGGAAGCACCTGGCTCCTGGCTTCGGATCGGCGCAGTACACTGGCTGTAGCAGTCATTTGGAGGGTGAACCAACAGAACAAAGACCTTTCTCTGTCTCTAACTCTGCCTGTCAAAAAAAAAAAAAAAAAAAAAAAAGACTGAACAGTAAACTGAGAAAGGACCCCAGTTCTGAGACATGTTTCTAGAAAAGAAAGAACAATACATTTGTACTGAATACCCATATGTAGGGAATGCAAGGATACTAAGCCCTGACATAAAAGAAAAGGTAGATACCATCTGTAATGGTTGCACTTATTTGCCAATTTGGTGGATACTTCTGCATGAGATTAACATTGAAATGGTGACCTTTGGGGGCCGGCGCTGTGGCATAGCGATAAAGCTGCTGCCTGCAGTTCCGGCATCTCATGTGGGCACCAGCTGCTCCACTTCCAATCCAGCTCTCTGCTATGGCCTGGGAAAGCAGTGGAAGATGGCCCACATCCATGGGCCCCTGCACTCGCATGGGAGACCTGGAAGAAGCTCCTGGCTTCAGATCGGCTCAGCTCCAGCTGTTGCAGCCAATTGGGGAGTGAACCAGCGGATGAAAGATCTCTCTTTCTCTGTGCCTCTCCTTCTCTGTGTAACTCTTTCAAATAATCTTAAAAAAAAAAAAAATTGGTGAACTGTGGGTAAAACACCTTCCTCCATAATATGGGTGGTTTCATCTAGTCAGTTAAAGGCCTGAACAGAACAAAAAGCATGAGGGAATCCTCCAGCAGACTGCCTTCATAGTGTTAGGACTGTGTCTGCTCTGCTGGTCTCCAGGCCACCAGCCCGTAGACTGAAACTGCACCACTGGCTCCCCTAGACCTCAAGCCTGCCAGTGAATTCTGCAGATTCTGAACTTGGCAACCCCCATGACTGCATGAGCCAAATCCTTATAACAAACATTTCTACGAGTCTATATGTGCACATCCTATTGGTTGTGTTTCTCTAGAGAACACTATGACATATCAGAGCTTCCAGAATCTTCAGGGAGGTCACATCCATGAACAATACTAAGAAAAATTCATATAACACTTTCATTCATGGACCCATTTCTCTCTTGGTGCTTACATTTTATTTATTTTTTATAGATATATACTTTTACTTCATTTTACTTGAGAAAGAATAAGAGACTGTGTGTCCAAGAGCATACACAAACATGCATAAGAACAACTCCATTCATTGGATCATCCCCTGATTACCCACAACAGCCAGAACTGGGCCTAAGCCAAGAGCTGGGAATTCAGTCCATGTCTTCCAGATGGGTGGCAGGAGCCCAATTACTTGAGCCATCACTGCTGCCTCCCAGGGTCTGCACCAGCAGTTAGCTAGAGTCAGGAGACAGAGCTGGGTAATGAACCCAGGTACTCTGACTCCAACATGGGGTGTGGGTATCTTTACTGCTGGGCTAGCAACCTGCACCAAAGCTTTTATTTCAAACAGGGAAACACAATAAATGCCTATTATAATGTAAGGTAGTGCTAAGAGCTATGAAGTAAAACAAGATAGAGTGAAGCAAGGAAGCAGTCAGAAGTCTGGTTTAGATAAGGAAGGGCTCTCTGAAGGGGTGGCATTTGAGAAAATATATGAATGGTGTGAGCTAAGCAGTGACAGACATTCTAGCACGAGTGAGGCACAGCAGAAAGATGAGATATGAAGAGTCAGATCATGAAGGTACTGGAGGGTATGGTAAGGGGTTCAGATTTTATGCTGAATGTACTGGGATGTCACTGAACACTGTATCTTTGTTTATTTTTAAATGCCTGTGCAAAGAGTAGAGGATAGTCTGGATAAAGATACATGGGTCTGGTTTTGTTTTTACAATGCTAATGCCCTTTAAGATCTTATTTATTTATTTGAGAGGCTATATACAGACAGAAAGCACTTCAATCCACTGGTTCACTCCCTAAATGGCCGCAACAGCTGAACCTGGGCTGATCCAAAGCCAGTAGCTTCTTCCGGCTCTCCCACATGGGTATAGGGGCCCAAGCACTTGGGCCATCTTCTACTGCTTTCCCAGGCCATAAACAGGGAGCTGGATCGGAAGAGGAGCAGCTGGGACATGAACTGGTGTCCATATGGATGCCAGTGCCACATGTGAAGGCTCAGCCTACTACACCACAGCACCAGCCTGTTTTTGAGGCACACACGCCTGTGCGCCTATTCTCTCACACACACATACACACAGTAAAAGAGAGAGACCAAAGGACAGACACAGCTCCCCAAAATGGTATCATAGCTGGGCTGAGGCTGGGCCAGACCAGGAATTAGGAACTCAACCCAGGTCTCCCATTATGTGAAAAGAATTCAATACTTAAGTTATCACCATTCCTACCAGGGTCTCCACTGGTGGGGAACTGGAGTCAGGGGCCAGGGTCAGGAACGGAACCGAAACACTTAAGATGTGAGACATGGGAATCTTAATCACTAGGCCAAACACCTACTCCCACGTTTGCTTTTTGGAAGCCTTTAGTAAACACCATATATAAAGAACTGACTCTAGGAGAAAAATAGTAAAAGTTGGAAGACATTTAAGAAGATGGAGTTTAATGAAATGGAAAAGATATTGACAGGAGGAATATTCCAGAACAGTTTGGTTCTAAAATCAAACAAGAATTTAGAAATATGAATAAAAAGCTGAAAAGAAGCAGAGTCATCTGTTTAGGGATTAAAACTCTGAGAGCTGATGCAATCCTAAGTGAGTGTATACAGAACGGGAGGGAACATATTCAGAAGAACAAGGAAGATGGTGATTCAATAAAGGAAAACAAGGTGAGAAATGAAGGGCAAGATGGGACCCAAAATATTACCTGACAGAAGCCAAAAATGCAGAGTTTCACAAAACAATATCAAATGTACAAACTCACTGAGGAGACAGTGAGGCTAAACTAGTAGAAACTGCAAGGCAGAAATCGCAGAAGCGTAAGAAATCCGGTTTGAGAGCTAGAAGAAGGTTCACAGTTTACTACGGAGTTTTGTTTTATTCTTATGTCCTAATTGGGATCCAAGAAGTCGACTCCAGCTGAGAGGTTACCCAGAAAGCTTCTACCTCTGGGTCTACAGCTCAACACAGGGAAGGAAGATTCTGAAGTCAGCGAGGCAAGCTCCTCGAGGTAGCCTGCAAGAAAGCACACACCCCTGCTATGAATGGCCCCTGGAACTACAAGCGACCTCCAGAAGCTGAGCGCAGTGGCAGGCAGGAGCTAGAAAGAAAATAAGAACAGCCGTCAGCTGACTGCAATGGGCTACATTCAACCAACAAATGCATGGTCTTGGAAGATCCTGATGGCCAAACGAAAACCATCACAGCCACACTTGGATTACAGCCTTGTGCGTGTCTGAGCAGGGAACCCAGATCATTCATCAAAATGTAAGATAACCAATGTGTTCTTTGACAGATGCTAAGTTTCGGGTATTTGCTACTTACAGATTGCTTCTTTTACCCTGGAAACTAATGAGAGAAGCAAACTTAAAAAAAAGTTTGATGTGTGTGATCTTGTAACTCACTACACTCCCAGCATGCCTAAGGATTTTGTTCAATTACCACTTACATTGTTTTGCAACACGTTCTGCCAAAACAGCAATTAACTGAAAATGATGAGCGACAGAGGTACGATTTTCATTTTCATTTTTAGAAACTTACTTTGGCAAGTATGCCAAACCAAAGGGAACTGGGTGTCTAGGTTTTCGGAATGTCAATCGCAGCTGTCCCCGTGCCTGGCCACACAGATCCCCGGGCTTTAATTTCAAAAGGGAGCGCAAGGTCATGACACCTGTCCTCCTTCCCAGGGGTTTGAGCTCCGCAAACGAAAATCTCCGGCTTCTGTTTAGGGTCCGAATAGTTCACAGGTGTTCTCCGCTTCGAAAACGAAGGCAGTCCCCCCCGGGACAATTACAACCTTGACCCCTAAAACGAGGACTCTCGAGTAGTCCACGCCCCTCCTCATTAGACCCGGCCACGCGACGTTCTGCTGGGAACTGTAGTTCTCCCGCTCGACCTTCACCATTGGAAACCTATCACGCGCCCAACCGGCGACCCAAGTCGCCGGCAGCCACGATTGGCCCTGGAGCGGGGCAGCGCGGGGCTGATTGGAGGACATGTCCCCCGGGCCGCGCCTCTCCGCTGCCTCTCACACCCCAGCCCGCTTCAGCAATTACCCTCAAGTCATCCCCGCCGGGAGAACTCGCTGGGGAACCGCCTCAGAGGCCCGGCCCGCGAGGCTCGCCCACAGGGCGGCCCTGAGACGCGCCCGCGTCCTGGGGCCCAGGCAGCGCCAACGTCTCCCGCCGTTCTCCGCAGGCTGAGCCGAGTCAACTTCCTCACGCGCCCTCTCGGAGAGGTCCCTCCCGCGCTCACCTGGGCGGCGGCGGTCACGCCAGATAACTGACAAGCCCGCAGCATCTCGGCGGACTGGACGGCGCTGGGGGAGTACGCGGGAGCAGCCGCGGCGGCGCGAGCAAAAGAGGGCGTGCGTGCGTCCGTGCGTGCCCTCGGCCGTGCTACTTTTCTGCGCCGGGCGCACCAGACGCACCGGAAGGGCCGTCAAACCAACTGCGCACGCGCGGCTCCCCTCGCCCGTCTCCCTTCGCTCGAGCCGCCGGCGAATAGGCCCCGCCCCGGCTGCGGAAACAATTGCTGGAAAGGAGGCGGGAAGGGTGGGTTCTTCTTCCGGGTCGCACGAGGCTCCTCCTTCGTAGCCCGCAGATCCAGGGCGACTGGGTGAACTGTAGCAGGGGTGAGCGTGGGTAATTCGGTCCTCGCTCCCACGGGGAAAACGAGCATCTGGACTGGCTCTGTCAGCTGGCTGTTTCGTAGGAAGAAATCGATTTGGCCACAGTTACGTAAACAATGCAGTCATCTCGGTTTGCGCGCTTGTTTCGTTGGGCAACAGGAAAACCGTGCTTGCTGCAGACCGGTTGAACTAACACTGGTTTTGCTTGTTGTGAGGGTTGTGCGGGTCATTCATGTACCTGATTAATGGCAGGAAAGGGATATAATTTTTTTTTTTTTGCCCCCATAGCTTATGCGCCTTTCGGATTAAACCACAATGCCTTCTCAAGTTTTTATTTTAGAGAAATAATTTTGGCAGCAACCTAGGAATGAGTGCAGAAGCACTGTTAAGAATATTCCACGGAGTTCAAAATATTCCACCATCATCTAACAGCCTCCAGAGCAGTCTCCCATTTTCGATTGACTTGGAGTTTTCTGGCTCCCATCCCTACCCACTATTGTCAAGCTGGGTGATGCCGTTGATAGCCTTGGCCTTGAACCTTGATGCCAATAAATACTTTCATTCTGCTCCAGCCATGTACCTCACAGCCACCTCTTGGGCCTGAGCATCATTAGCAACCTCTGAGTTCTTAAACCTCAGAAGTGATTTCTGTTGTTTCCTAGCCCCTCGTTTAACCAAATCCTTGACCCTCCACATACAAGTTAGGAACTTTTTGCCTTAAAATGTTACATTGGGACTCTCCTAAACTCAGAAATTTAAATCACATCACTCACCTGTTCAAAAACATTCAGTAACTCCCATTGCCGATTCAAAGAACCTTTTTTGAATGTCTCAAACTTTTCCGGACGACATGGAGGCTTTTGGACCCAAAGTGGTCATCAGAGTGGGAGACCAAGATGGCAACAAGCTCACCAACCACTAAATCACTCTGAATCCCAGGCAATGAAGTATAAACATTTCAGAAGTTCTTAAAATGTTATCCAGGGGGCCCTGGAAGCATGACACGCTTCGAAGGCTGGTCCATAAAATGACTTTTCATAGTAACACTATTTTCTTTTTTACTCTCATTATCTCCTAATAATAGACTATAGGGTGTTAACAGAAGCTACCCAACAGATGAGAAATTGCCGAAAAAAATTTTAGAATCCAGTTTTTTGTTACGCTACATCTTAAAGAGAGATTTACAAAAATGTAAAAGAATGCTGCTTTTCTCACTATTTTTTGGAAGCTGATTTTCATAAAAATGTTAGCGTGCAATGGTTTGTTTATTTAAATAATTAATGATTTGAAAGAGAGGGAAAGATCTTCCATGTGCTGATTCATTCCCCTAAATGGCCACAACAACCTCAGCTGGGCCAGGCCAAAGCCAGGAGCCAGGAATTCCATCTGACCCTTCCGCATGGGTGGCAGGAACCCAAATACCACATACCCAAATAATGTATCCTCCAGGATACATTAGCAGAAAGCTGAATTGGGAGCACAGAGTAACCAGGACTCAAACCAGGCCATCAGATATGGGATGCAGGCATTCCAAGTGACAGCTTAACCTAGGTCAACACAATGCCCATCCCTGTGTAATGGATTTATAATTAATTTAAAATAAATTGGTGTGGTAGTCAGAATAATGGGCCTTCAAAGATGTCTACTTTTCCTAACCTCTGGAATCTGTGTATATGTTACTTAGCATGACAAAATGGGTTGTGTAGAAACAAATTATTTTGAGATGGGAATATCCTGGCCCAGCCCCAGCTCTTGTTGCCATTTGAGGAGTGAAACAGCAGATGGAGGAGATTCCGCTCCCCCCACCCCGCTCCATCACTCTTTCAAATAAATATTAAATCTTTAAAAGAAAGGAAAAATAACAGAGTAGTTAGGACTCAATCTGGCATTTGGATATGGAATGCAGGTGCCCCAAGCTGTTCCTTAGTCTTCTGGGCCACAATGTCCACCCCAGAAAGGTTTTTTTGGTTTTGTTTTGGTTTACAGAATTTATTAAGAAATAAGTTTTCCGTTTATACACAGAAATTTGGTTGTTTATAAAGCCCAAAACTGTGTGTTACAGTGGATGACTTATAAAGTGACACCTTTTAACATAAACTTTTTCGTATAGTAAAATTACTCCATATATTTTACTGTCAAAAACTGTCTTGACAACTTTTCTATGCATGTTAAAGAAAAATAGTATCAATTGTTATGTCACTATTTCCAGTGTTAAAGTAACTGGTTATCATCTAATGTTCCATTTCTGGAACTACTAATCTTATAAATTCAAAATTGCTACTTTAATCCATGTTTTAAAACTGCAATATGGAAATGTACTTATTTTTAAGGATGAAAACATAAATGGTAACAAGAATTGTAGATCAAAGTTAGTATAAAAAAATAAGGTGACATGACTCCAAATATGGATTTCTATCATACTTAAATATAAAAAATTTCAAGAGAGTATGTGGGTTCTTGGAACATACAGAAAGAGTATACAGACTAAACAGATTAAACTACAGCTGAAAAATCTATGACGATTTTAGGTCAAACAATTGATTCAAAATACCAATTTGCTGGAAATGTAGTTGTCATGGTAAAAAAGGCACTTCCTTCTTTGAACAGCAGATATAATCTTTTACCTCTAAGTTCTAGTATATCTAAAGAACAAAGTACTAACATACTAACACGTTGCCTAAAATAATTCAGCATCAGTTTTTTTAGAAAAGATGTGAAAAGCAGAGTTACAGAGGGAGAGAGAGAGTCTTCCATCTGCTGGTTTACTCCCCAAGGGGCCCCAGTGGGTAGGGTTACGCCATACTGAAGCCAGGAGCCACGAGCTTCATCCTGGTCTCCCACATGGGTGGCAAGGGCCCAAGCACTTGGGCCATCTTCTGCTGCTTTTCCCAGGCCGTTAGCGTGGGCCTGGATGGTTAGTGGGGCAGCCAGGACACAAAGCTGGGGCCATGTGAGATGTCAGTGTTCCGAAGGCGGCATTACCAGCTACATCACATGCTGGTCGCTCAGCATCATTTTTAAAAGAAATATAGTAAACACATTGAAACACTGAAAAGAAGTGAACCTGCTTTAACAAAGTATACTCGTGCTAAATAAAGTTCTATTCTTCTTAACAAGTGATGGCCCAAATTCCCAATTGTAGAACATCTTCAGAAAACCTGGAATATAAAACATTGAGTTCGATTTAGATATCATCAGTGTCTTCATCATCATCTCCAATATCATCAAACTGGATTTCATCATCATCTCCAGGCCCAAATGTATCGGTTTCGTTGATTTTGGCGTGTTCCGGAAGCTCGCCGTACGCCTTCAGGCTTCTCGCTTCATCTGCGTTGTACTTCAAAATCACATCCGCTTTATTGTCCTGATAGTCTCGCAGACCCACCAATATAACGTCCGAGGTATTTATCCAAACCTTTTTCCTCAGTTTCCCTCTAATATGGCATAACCGCTTGACGCCATCAAAGCACATGGCCTCCAGGCGTCCGTTCCCCAGCATCTTGACCACCTGGGCATACTCTTGTCCATCTTCTTTGAACACCAGCTCCCGTTTCTCAGATTCGTTCTCATTCTTCCCCCGGCGCCTGTTTTTACCTCCTTTGCCTTTGTTCTTGGGCATGGCGGAGACCGCAGTTTCGCCAAGCTCCTCTGCCTGGCGGTGGTTGCCAACCGCCTCCCGGAGGTCCCGCTGGAAGCCGTTCTCCGAACCCGGCGCGCAAACCGCCGGACGCGAGCCGGTTCCACGCCGAACGCCGCGGCGCGCCCCGCAGGGAAGTCCTGCGGCTTTCCGCCTCCAGTTTCCTCACAGCATGTAGGAGCACTAGTTCTCAGGAATAAAAGAATGACGGTAGAATTATTCAGGGAGAGTTGGCAAATGAGTGTCGATTTTTGAAAAGCACATTTGTGTGTAATGTACGTGTGTGTAAATATCCTTAGGATAGGCACACTTATTCGATCAGAGTTGACATGCAATATTTTTTCAAAAACAATTTTTTTGTAATACAACTTTTTCCCATTCATTTATCCTAACGTCCTCCAGCGTTGGAAGCGAACCACTATTCTCTCAATTTCATAAAAAGAGCAAAAAGAAATTCCTACAAATATCTTGTATTTTTTTTAAAGAGATCTTTCAATCACGTGTTAATAAAATTTTGAGCGCCTACTTATATGTGTGGCGATATTTTTATAGGCGGCTGTTTCACCGCGGCGAAGGAACCCGACCTATAAACTGTAGGCGTTCCTTTATTTTCCCCCTCTCCTTGACTCCGCCCTGATTGCGTTTCTTTTATTCGCTTTTGCTCTGGGCCTTTTGAACCCACTGCGGCCGCCGTAGTCGTGTGGCAAGATGGCGGCTCTCGCGTTTGGCGGTATACTGAGAGCCGCTTCAGGTCAGTGTTTTAATTAACGTCTTCCCAGAACGGAGAACTGGAGTGGGTGTCTGGGCTGGAGGTTAAGCATGGAAAGGACGGGGATAAGGTCACTATGTGAGGCCTGAAGGGACTCCGGACTTGTCTGGAGCGGGGAGCTGTGTGGCGGGCAGCCACGCACCAAGGTCCCGCCTCATACTGCTGCTGGCCCGCTGGCCCTCTGTCTTTGCCCTCTTTCGGATTTCCCATTCTTCAGAATACAAACCAGAGAGACAGGGGTAGAGGGAAGCAAGGGACACGCGAAAAGTCCCATGTAACTTACCTGATTCACAGGCTAGGACTCGGCCGTCACGACCTCTGACCTTGAGATTGACTCATTTCTCAGAATTTCGGATTCCACTGCGGTAAAATGGGGTTAATGCCACGTCCTAGGGGGACTGGCTGAGTTTTGTGTGAATAGAGTGTCCTGCGTAATACCTGGCACATAGCTAGCGTGTTGCCGTGGCTGCAAATTTGTTTTTCCATGAATAAATTCGTTTGGGCTGTGAGTTCCTATCCTGCCTCCTTTCTGCTCTGCCCCCACCCCCTTCCCCTTACAGTCAGGGATTGTGGTTAATTCCTTTGTAACTACAGCCCCCCGCACGAAGGTGGGCATAAATTCCTTGAGTGAGAGGTCAGGGGAGCCTTCATGCTCAGGACTTCTTGCAAGAAGTTAAAAATCACTCAAATATGATAGAATGGTCAGTAAGCCACTTTCACGCAAAATAACGTTAAATTAGGATAAAAACTGGTGGGAGAACAAGAAAAATAAGTAATGGTGTAAATTTACCAACTCTTAGAGAAAAGCTTTTTTACGAGTGTTGTGTGTGTGGACATGTGCAAAATACACATACAAAGAAAGTGTGTCACATACATGAATGGTTCAACAGTGCTGCAGTAGACCTGTGAATCACCCAAGCTCCAAAGCACTACCAGAAACTCCCTTCTCCAGACCCCCACATCTCCCCAGTCAAAATTCCATACGTAAACATGATTCTAATTCTAATTATATATATAATTATCTAATTCTAATATTTACCTTGCCTGTTGGTAGTTTTAGCATCTATAATGTGTGTGTCCCAGTAACATGTTGTTTAGTTTTGTCTGGTATTGAACTTTATGTGAATGGAATCATGCAGTATGTCCTCTTTAGTAGGGATAGGGAAATGTTTTTTTTTGCCAAGAGCCATTTGGATATTTATAACCTCATTTGTGGGCCATACAAAATTATCGACTTACAAATTAGCCTACTCTAGATGTATTGGATTTTGGTCCTCCTTGCGATTGGCTTGGCAAGGCCAGATAGATGATTTTGCAGGCCATGTACGATCCTCAGGCTGGACATTCCTCGCCCTGCTTTGGTGTCTGACTTCTGTTTTCTCAGGTTCATTCATCTTGCATGTAACTGAGTGCTTTGGCATTGCTATATAATGGTCTGTGACTGCTCCACAAATCTCCATTCTACTATTGATGAGCATTTGGGTGATTCCAGTTTGGAGGCTGTCATGAGCAAAGCTGATTGTCCTGAGGGGGTATGTGTGTGTGTGCACGCATGTGTGTAACTAGCTGTGGAATTACTGGATCAGAGCATGTGTGTGTGTGTGTGTGTGTATATATATATATATTCAGTATTGTCTGACATTGCCAAACTGTTTTCCAGAATGGTGTGCTTATTTTTGGTTACCCCAGTAGTGGAGGGTCCACATTTTCACGAGTACTTGGTATTGTCAGACTTAAATGTGTGTCAGTCTGGTGGCTGTGTAGTGATATCTCTCTGAAGGTTAAATATGCCTTTCTCTAATGCTTAATGAGCCTTAGTGTGGTCAGTCACATGTGTATTAATCTTTTGGATTTATTTTATGAAATACCCATTTAAATATTTTTACTGATTTATTGGGTTGTCTCATTGACTTATAGTTGTTCCTTTTTTTTTTTTTTTTTTTAAAGATTTATTTGAAAGGCAGAGTGAGAGAGGCAGAGAGAGATCTTCCATCTGCTGATTGACTCTGCAAATGGCTGCAAGAGCCAGGTTTGCGCTAAACCAAAACCAGGAGCCTGAAATTCCATCTGGGTCTCCCATGTGGATAGCAGGGGCCCAAGTACTTGAGCAATCACCTGCTGCCTCCCAGGGCTGCTCATTAGCTGGAAGCTGGATGGGAAGTGGAGAAGCTGGAACTGGAACCAGCATTCAGATATGAGATGTGGATTTCCCAAGCAGCACCCAAGTACTTGCCCCAAGTAGAGTTTCTTTTTTAACCAACTTTATTGAGGATGAATTTACATGCTATAAAATTACCCATTTTATGTATACAGTGTTATGGGTCTTAGTAAATTTAGCATGTCATGAAGTCATCATCACATTGCAGTTTTAGGACACTTCCATAATCCTAAGACACTTTTTCTTTTGTTCTGTTTCCTTTTCCATTTCTTTGAGAGGCAGAGAGAAACAGAGACACAAAGTTAGTTTCCATTCAGTGTTTCACTCTCCAGATGCCTACAATGTCTTGAACTGAGAACACACATAATCTGTGTCTCCCACGTGGGTGGCAGGAACACAATTACTTTAAGCCATCACTCCTACCTCCCTGGGCCTGCATCCTTAGGAAGCTGGAGTTAGGAGCCGCGAGCTAGTATTGAACCCAGTCACTCCAGTATGAGACAGGGTGTACCAACCTTCGGGCCAAATGCCTGCCCACATGAAACTTTTTCAGCATGTATATCCTTGCACCCCATACTAATTAGACTCAGTCAGTAATGGAGTCGGAGCTCCATTAGTAATTCTCATTTGCAGGCATGAACTATTAGCCTAGTTAAGGTGAGAAGGATTTGTTATCAACCCGAGGTTTTTTGGGTCACTTGCAAATAGAAATTAACAAGAGGCCAGTGTGCAGCCCATAGAAGGTTTACTGAGATCTTATCTCCTAGCATAAGGGGGATGGCATGGTGTGAAGAGGTTCTTCCACTGGCTGTCTGCAGGAGCTGAACAGGTTTTTTTTTTTTTTTTAAGATTTATTTAGGGGCCGGCACTGTGGCTCACTTGGTTAATCCTCCGCCCGCAGCGCCGACATCCCATATGGGCGCCGGGTTCTAGTCCCGGTTGCCCCTCTTTCAGTCCAGCTCTCTGCTGTGGCTCGGGAGGGCAGTGGAGGATGGCCCAAGTGCTTGGGCCCCTGCACCCGCATGGGAGACCAGGAGGAAGCACTTGGCTCCTGGCTTTGGATTGGCTCAGTGCTGGCCTTAGCGGCCATCTGGGGAGTGAACCAACAGAAGGAAGGCCTTTCTTTCTCTCTTTCTGTCTCTCACTGTCTATAACTCTACCTGTCAAATTAAAAAAAAAAAGATTTATTTATTTATTTGAAAGGCAGAGTTAGAGAGAGGCAGAGGCAGAGAGAGGTCTTCCATCCATTGGTTCACTTCCCAGATGGCTGCATCAGCCAGAGCTGCACCAATCCAAAGCCAGGAGCTTCTTCGAGGTCTTCCACATGGGAACAGGGCTTTCTTTCCTAGGCCATAGCAGAGAGCCAGATCGGAAGTGGAGTAACTGGGACTCAAACTGGCGCCCATATGGGATGCTGGCACTGCAGGTGGCAGCTTTACCCACTACGCCACAGGGCCGGCCCCTGAACAGGTGTTTTTATGAGGTTAGGGAGGCATGTGGGTTCCTTCTCAGGCCCAGGCTCTTCAGTTTGCACCCAGCTCAGTGTTCTTTGCAGGCACTGTTTTGTTTTGTTTTCTTCTTCACACAACAGGCTCAAAATGATGGTGCCCCTCAATACCATCACTCTAGGAAGGTCGCATGTCAATTGCATTGGGTTATTCTGAACATAATATGTAGGTTGGGGAAGTCCCTAACAGGGCAGTAAGGGGTCTTTGTCTATTGGGGTCTGGAGGCCTCTTACTCTTGATTGGTTCGCAGCTGAAGATAGAAACATAGGTCAGGAAGGGCTTAATTTAGTGATCCTGTCTCAGTCTTGTCTGGTATTGATAGAGAACAGCATTCAGTCCCTACATCCCTGCCCTCAGGAATCTGCCCACCTCTTGTCCCACTGCTTCTTTCCAAGCATCTCTGCTACAGTTGGGCAGGCAGTGAGCAGCCTCTGTGGCATTTCTGGTCTCCAGTCTGCATATCTGTTTGTGTCAGCTGTCAGGTCTTTGCTTGGATTGTTCATCCTGCCTGAAATGTGTTCCTCCTCCTCTAAGGGCCTCTTCATCTTCTAGAGGAGAATCCAAGTGCCGTGCCTCCCCTCCCCTCCCCTCCCCTCCCCTCCCCTCCCCTCCATTCCTCTCCTCTCCCCTCCCTTTCCATTCTCTCCATGAATCCTCTCTTGCCACTCTATTGTCTTTCCAGGAAGGACTCAAGCTTTGTTTCTCCTAGCTGCCTTTACAGTGCTTGTGGGAGTTGTTTCCCCAGAGAGTAAGATTGGGTGGGTGGGGTGGGGAGGTATTAATGTTCTATATATCGTGTCCCCTAATACTAAACATAGAGCTAGGACACATCACACTGGATCATGATGATGGCTGGACAGCTTTAAATTTTCTGAAAATCACTGAATTGTGTATCTAAATTACGTGGTTTTACGGTGTTAAAAGGAAAATTCTGGGGCCGGCGCTAGTGGGTAAAGCCACCTCCTGCAGTGCCGACATCCTATATGAGTGCCAGTTCAAGTCCTAGCTGCTCCACTTCAATCCAGATCTCTCCTGATGTACTTGGGAAAGCAGTGGAATATGGCCTAAGTGCTTGGGTCCCTACACTCACAGGAGAGATCCCAATGAAGCTCGGGTTTTGGTCTGGCTCAGCTCTGGCTGTCGCAGCGATTTGGGGAATGAACCAGTGGATGGAAGACTTCTGTCTCTCTGCCTCTGCCTCTGCTTCTCCCTCCTTGTAACTCCACCTTTCAAATAAATAAATCTTAAAAAAATAATTCCTTAGACCAGTTAAATTTAGTAGGGTTTATTTGAGCAAAAGGAACAACATCAATAGGGCAACCCTCAGAACCAGAGCAGGCAGGATCTGAGAACTCCAACTAACAATGTTATTTGACAGCATTTATGGAAAAAATAGAAGTGAGTCAAAGAAAACAACTTAGTTGATTACATTTAGCCAGTCAGTTGGTTTTAGCTTAGTTAATTGGCTGCAGGGTCTTCTGCAGCCAACCAAAACTCACCCACTGTGATGAAGCTATATTTTGGGTTTGTCTGTTGGACCCAGTGCAGGTACCCAGTCCAAATCCATGGCCTCCTATACATTTTATTTAACAAGGTATGGAAGTTATAGTTCAATAAAATTGGTTAAAAAAAAAAAAAAAAACACCATGAGTCTGATGCTCAGGTTACATTATTTATAATGCTTGGTTGCTTTGATCCATACTTTTAAATATATGGATGTTTATTTTGGAGTAACATATTAAATATATATGCTTCTTTCTTTACAGGAGTATTAAGGCCCCTGAATACGTTGGCAGCTCCAGCCTATCGAAACTGTACCAAGAATGCCTGTCTTATTTCTGCACTGTCCACCAGACATTTCAGTCATATTCAGGCACCGGTTGTTTCCTCTGCTCCCAGACTTACCACATCTGTCAGAAACCTTCCTTGTGGGCATTCTACAACCATTCCTAACAGGTAGTTTATTTCAGTAAACATGATATCTAGCCAATATTTCCAAAGCATTCATACCTACAAGACATCTTAGAAGTAGATGATATTCTTTGCTGCCTGTGGATTATTATACAGACTTTGCCTGATTAAATGAGAGAATGATTGACATCCATATAGCTACATGCCAACAGCAGAAACTGCCAAGCAGAGCACACTTGTGATGTTGTCTGTATGATTTCCTGGATGGCAAGCTTTTTTTTTTTTTTTTTTGACAGGCAGAGTTAGACAGTGAGAGAGACAGACAGATAGGTCTTCCTTCCGTTGGTTCACCCCTCAAATGGCCACTATGGCTGGTGCACTGCGCCGATCCAAGGCCAGGAGCCAGGTGCCCCTTCCTGGTTTCCCATACGGGTGCAGGGCCCAAGGACTTGGGCCATCCTCCACTGCACACCCGGGCCACAGCAGAGAGCTGGACTGAAAGAGGAGCAACCAGGACAGAATCTGGCGTCCCAACTGGGACTAGAACCCGGGGTACTGGTGCCGCAGGCGGAGGATTAGCAAAGTGAGCCATGGCGCCAGCCTGGATGGCAAGCTTTTAAAGGTGGGCTGTGTGTGGTGCTCATTCAGTCAGCAAATACTAAGTTGGCACCAAGGACACAAAATTGAAGTCCTCAAAGAGTTTATCATTTGGTGGGCAGACTGATAAATCATCAGGTGATTAAAACATAATGGGATAAATTCTTTTCTAGATATTGAAGGGTAGATTTTAGAAGGTTTCCAAGTTGGTGATGCTTGCTATTCTGTTTATGCTTAGTGTCAGGAGTCATTTGAAGTAATATTATATATTAAAATTCAGTTCCCAGGACCAGCATTTTGCTACAGCAACACTAACATCCCTTTTGGAATGCCAATTCAAGTTCAGTTGCTCCACTTCTGATCCAGCTTCCTACTAATGCACCTGGGAAGGCAGAGGGAGATGGTCCAGGTACTTAGTTTCCTGCCACCCATGTGGGAGGCCAGAATGCAGTTCCTGGCTACTTCTGGCTTTGTGGTCATTTGGGGAGTGAACAGATGGAAGATCTCTCCCTCTTTGCCACTCTGCTTTTGAAATAAACAGATGTCTTTTCAAGACTCATTTATTTTGAAAGAGTTACAGAGAGAGGGAGAGACAGAGATATCTTCCATTTTCTGGTTCATTCCCGAGATTGCCACAACAGCCAGCACTGGGTCAGGCCGAAGCCAGGAGCTTGCTCTGGGTCTTCCATGTGGGTGACAGGAACCCAAACACTTGGGTCATCATCTACTGTTTTTCCCAGGCCATTAACAGGGAGCTGGATTGGAAGTGGAGGAGCCGGTATGTGAACCAGTGCTCATGTAGGATGCCAGCATCTCAGGCAGCAGCTCTACCTGTTACACAACACCAGGCCCCAATAATTTAAAAAAATAAATAAAAATAAACAAATTCAGCTCCATTCCAGTGGAGCAACTTCACTCATTATTGTTGCTGTTTTAGATTGACTTATTTATTTGAAATGAAGGATGATAGGGAGAAAGATCTTCAGCCTGTTGATTTACTCCATAAATGACCACAACAGCTGAGAGTAGACAGGCCAAAACCAGGAGCCAAGAAACTCTATCTGGGTCTCATGTGGGTGCCAGGAACCCAATTATTTGGACTATATTCCGCAGCCTCCCAGGTGCATTAGCAGGAAGATGGATTGGAAGCACAGTCCTGGTTCAGGACTTGAACCAGGCATTCATTTTTAAGTATAGAAAAAGATTTTATCATTTTTAAAAGATTATTATTTATTTATTTGAAAGGCAGAGTTAGAAAGAGAGATCTTTCATCTTCTGGTACACTCCCCAAATGGCCACGACAGTCAGGGCTGGGCCTGGCCAAAGCCAGGAGCCAGGAGCTTCCTCCAGGTCTTCCACATGGGTATAGGGGCCCAAGTACCTGGGCTATCTTCGGCTGCTCTCCTAGGCGCATTAGCAGGAAGCTGGATCAGAAGTGGAGCAGCCAGATCTCAAACTGGCACACATATGGGATGCTGTGGGCAGTGGCTTTACCCACTATGTCACAGTGTCGGTCCCAGTTTTATCATTTAATCAGTCTTTAACTGCTGAGTTGAATTTTTTTTAAATGTTTTTTAGAGCGGCTCCCTTGCTTCCAAGTGTCCTGAAGCAGCCAGTCAGGACCGTCACATACTTCAGTTCACGAAAAGGCAAGAGAAAAACTGTGAAAGCTGTCATCTACAGGTTTCTTAGACTTCATTCTGGCCTTTGGCTAAGGAGAAAGGTGAGTCTTCACACTATTTCTTGATTGTAAAAGGATTGTGAGTAGGAGATTGAAATGAAGATTGCAGTGAATCCAGTGAGCCCGTTCAATGACATATCCTTCCCTTCTTACCATTGGTTGTTACGGTGCTTTGCCAAAGTACCAGCTTGGCAGGCATCTGTGTGTAAGTGAATCCATGTGAAGAAAACATGGAAGCATTCATAAAGCAACAGAACATTCAGAATGCAAAAATCTTCACTGGAGCACAGCTTCACTGCCAGTGTTCTAACGTGTCTGGCCTATCTAGTGACCAGCAGAAGTCCTTTGAAGCCTGTAAGTTTAATAACCTGCTGAAGCCTGTTAACAGCGTTGCAGACTTGGGCACATGGCTCAGATCAGGGGGGCGGAGGGGTCTGAGAACATTTCAGCCTACCTTGGATTGGATTCTCTGAGTTGCTTAATCTTTTTTTTTTTTTTTTTTTTTTTTTAATTCATTTGAAAAGCAGAGTTACAGAGACAGAGAGAGAGGTCTTCCATCTGCTGGTTAACTCCCCAGATGGCCACAACAGCCTGGGCTGGGCAAGGCCAAAGCCAGGAGCCAGGAGCTTCTTCTAGGTCTCTCACATGGGTGCTAGGCCCTAAGCACTTGGACCATGCTCTGCTGCTTTCCCAGGCCATTAGCAGGGAGCTGGATCAGAATGGCTCTGTCTACTACACCACCATGGCTGGCCCCTAGGCAGCTTTATCTTTGTTTTAGAACATTAACCCGACATGGCGGTTTTTTTTTCCCCTCGGTTTACAGGTTTTCCTCTCTATTGGTATATATGACTGGAACTATCACAGACAGAGTTCCGATAATTACTCTGGCCTATGACTCCAACCTCTATGGGGACTCTGAAATATTACTGTTCCTTCCTCTGCCACATCATATCTTGAGCATAATTGGGCTTTTTTTTTCATTCATATCTTTATTCAAGGAAACAGAAGAGCTGATAATTAGAAAGCCAACTTAAGGCCAGAGTTTCACAAACCCGTCTTAACCTTTAATAGCTGCTTAAATCCTAATTTCCTCTTATACCTGGAGGTTAATTTAATTCTTTAAACATCAAAATTTGGTTCCTTATAAAGATAAAATAGTTGGTAGGACTTTCAGTATCTGAAAGGTCGAAAGGATTGACATTTATCTTATAAACAGTCAAATTTGTAGATTAGTAGGTTCATTGGTACTCTTGGCATATTTCTCCATGGAAACAGCACTGTGTTAGTTTTTTTTATTTGAGAGATACAGATCTCATCCACTAGTCCATTTCCCAAATGTCCATAATGAAACCAGGAGCCAGGGACTTAATCTGGGTCTCCATGGGTGGCAGAATCGTAACTGTTTGAGCCATCATCTACTGCCTTCCAGAGCGGGCACCAGCAGGAAGCTGGAATCAGGAACGGAGCTGGGACTCAAACCCAGGCACTCCAACAGAGGATGCCTGTGTCCCCAGCAGTGTCGTAACTGCTAGGCCAAATGCTTGCCCTGGTTTATTTTTCTACACCAGTTAACAGAAGTACATGTAACCCATCAGTAGCTGAAGTTCTGAGTTTGTGAATTTTTCCCTTGGAAACATTTCCCTCCAGTTATTTCCAGGTCCTCATCTGTCCCTAAGTAAGATGAAATGGGTGGTTTTCTTTGCCTTCCTTCCCATATCCCCCTTGTTGGGCTCTGGAACCTTCATGTTGTTGTAAAAAGCCTGATCAAACTCTCTAGTCATAGTATCTAGCCTCAGCTTAGAGCCCCAAGGAATACAGTGTGTGCAGAATGGCCTGGTTCCTCATTTTAAGAGAAAAACAAACAAACTGGTTAACTTTCACTAATGTAGAGTATTTTCTGTGGCATAGTTTCATCTGGGTGTCCCTAATATTTGTTGTTTATTCCTTCCTTCCAGTTTTGAACTTAGAACTGTCCAAAAAATTTTCATAGTGGCTCCATTGCACAAAGTAATCTGTTTTTGTTGTTTATTTGAAAGGCAATGAGAAGGGGGGGGGGGGTCTTCTATCTGTTTGTTTGCTCCCCAGATGCCCACAACAGCCGAAGTTGGGCCAGGCCAAAGTCAGTAACTAGGAACTCCATTTGAATCTTCCCCATGGGTGGCAGGAACCCATGCCCTTAGGCCATTGTTTACTGCCTCCCAGGTGCGCTAGCAGGCAACTGGGCCAGAAGTGGAGGAGCTGGACCTTGAACCAGCAGTCTGATGAGGGATGCAAAAAGCATCACAGGCAGTGTTGCAACACCTGACCCTGCACAGAGTGATCTTTAAAAGATACTGGCGGTGTTGGGCAAGGTGGCAGATTAGGGGTCTGTAAGTCAACACAGGGATTTAGTTTGGCCTGCAGACGAGACAATTCTTACTCAAATAAGAAGACTTTAGTTTGAATCTTGAACTTAAAATTGTAAGCAGTCAGTAGCAAGCCTCTGAACTCTTAAACACCTTTCCTTAGTTCTCAGCATCACTGTACTTTTGAGTGTGCTGATCACGATGACAAGACACGTCAGAAACCCAAGGCAGCTTGTCAGCTGAGAGCCTTGGTTGATGCCATAAAGAGTCCTCGACTGGCAAGGACCCAGGGTTTCTAGTCCGGCCTCCTCTGTAACTTACTGTGTAGCTTTAGTTATGACTATAGCTTCTACATACAATTGAATTTTCTATTTCTTTAATAATAGCTTCTTTAAAATTAATGCATGGAAAATATTCTGTATATGGAAGTTTTAGGTTAAAAATATGGGTAAACCGTCCCTTCACTGCACAGTAATAGTTGTACTGTAGTCATTGTTCTCTAAAAGTGCTTCCTATAAACATTGGTCCTTAGTGTGTGAAAAGAATAAATGAAGCAGTAATACTTGAAAGCTGTACCTCTCAGCCCTTGTAATACTCAGTCCCACTAACTAACCAGTACCCAGTACCCTCCTGATCAGGACAGAGTAAATATGTGGCTGAGAACTCCGAGTTCTTGCACCTCAGTCTGCTCCTTCTTAATCAGGAATTGTGCTTTTAATCTGTAAAGTGACAACATATTCTGTTGGTATTGAAGAGTGTTACAGAGATAAGAAAATGCATGTGAAGTTGGCTGTTAATAATTATATGCTATTATTTTGTGTTTCACCAGCACACAGATTTATTGAGCTTTATTTTCTGTGATATTATTCTAAATATTTTCCAAAATGTTGTTAATATTTTCTTTTCAAGCTGCTCATGTTTTCTCTACTCACCCTTGAGAATTTTTCTGAAACACAGCAGCCTTTGTTCCCAATGGGCCTGTAAAACAGGCTGTGCACTCGTCAGTTGTCTCCTACATGACATAAAGTAATTGTTAACCCCTTTGTTGTGCTATTCAACAGTCTGGTTATAAGAAGAAATTATGGAAAAAGACCACTGCAAGAAAAAGACGCTTGAGGGAATTTGTGTTCTGCAATAAAACCCAGAGTAAACTCTTAGATAAAATGACCACGTCTTTCTGGAAGAGGCGGAACTGGTATGCCGATGATCCCTATCAGAGGTACCACGATCGCACAAACCTGAAAGTGTAGGTCAGAAATGGCACGGCTCCCCAGGCATTGCCTGTGTATATCTGCATATATTATGTCTCTGCAAAAATAAAGAAGTATAAAACTTGACTTTCTTAAAAACAAATTATTGTGTAAACATCAAATACCAGTATTAAACTTCTGAGAGTTTTAAGACTGAATAAATTAAACATTCCCAGATTTGATAGAGAATTAGAAGTCTAATTGTGTGTGTGTGTGTGTGTGTGTGTGTGTAGACTTATTTATTTGAAAGGCAGAGTTGCAGAGAAAGAGAAGTCTTCCATTTGCTGGTTCACTCCCAAATGGCCACAACAGCCAGGAGCCTGGAGCTTCATCTGGGTCTCCCATACAGGCACAGGGGCCCAAGGATTGGGCCATCTTTTACTGCTTTCCCAGGCCATAGCAGAGAACTGGAGTAGCTGGGATTTGAACTGGGGCCCGTATGGGTTGCCGGCACTGCAGATGGCAGCTTTACCCGCTATGCCACAGCACGGGTTCTTGTGTGTTACTTTTTTTTTTTTTTTTAATTTTTTTTGACAGGCAGAGTGGACAGTGAGAGAGAGAGACAGAAAGAAAGGTCTTCCTTTGCCGTTGGTTCACCCTCCAATGGCTGCCGCGCACCGCGCTGATCCAATGGCAGGAGCCAGGTACTTATCCTGGTCTCCCATGAGGTGCAGGGCCCAACCACTTGGGCTATCCTCCACTGCACTCCCTGGCCACAGCAGAGAGCTGGCCTGGAAGAGGGGCAACCGGGACAGAATCCGGCGCCCCGACCGGGACTAGAACCTGGTGTGCTGGCGCCGCAAGGCGGAGGATTAGCCTAGTGAGCCGCGGCGCCAGCCTCTTGTGTGTTACTTTTAACATATAGTAGTGGCTTACCTAATTGTTCAATTAGGCTTATTTTGTTGCAAAAAATCTCAAGTGAGGTAATACTCCAAAGGTAACAAGTTTGGCTAGAAGTAGGATGTTATTTTAAGGATATAGGCCTGAGAACTCAGGAACCACCACCCCAGCCCCAGGTCCCACTGAGAAACAGCCCCCAAGCCTCTGAAACTGGATAATGATCTTCAGGGACTGTTCAGGCTTGGGCTCTGCCGTGGGTGTGACTCCATTGCCCCCTCACTGCCACCTCTAATTCACAGCTGTTGCTTACATGTAGCTCCTCTTCCCTCAGTTCCCTCAGCTCCTATTTCTGGTCTCCAGCTACAGAGGGGCCCTACCTGGGCCAGCTTACCTTTTCATACCAGGTCTCCTTGGTGTCAGCATCCAGTGTGGGGACTGGCAGTCCTGCAGCCCTCCTCCCCCTCGGCTGATTTCATTGTTAGCAGACTCACACGGAACAAAATGAGCATTTTCACTCAGGTGAGCATGGGGTAACAGCACACTTTGTGTCTGCTATACTGGCTTCACTGTCCTCTCCGGCAGTTCTTGTTTCATTCATTGGAACAGGGTTTTTTTTTTTTTTTTTTTTTTTTTTTTTTCCCATAGAAGGGTAAATGAAATAGCCTTTCAGCCAGTACACCTGCTCATGAAACTCAGGAAGCAGTACAAGACAAGCACTGTTCACCCAGGCTTTGAAAGCTACTGTATTAATAGTTTAGCACTTGAGAATCCACCACACCCGCTAAAGACCTTTTGACAGGCAGAGTGGACAGTGAGAAAGAGAGACAGAGAGAAAGGTCTTCCTTTGCCGTTGGTTCACCCTCCAGTGGCCGCCGCGGCCGGCGCACTGCGCTGATCCGATGGCAGGAGCCAGGTGCTTCTCCTGGTCTCCCATGGGGTGCAGGGCCCAAGCACTTGGGCCATCCTCCACTGCACTCCCTGGCTACAGCAGAGAGCTGGCCTGGAAGAGGGGCAACCGGGACAGAATCCGGCGCCCCGACCGGGACTAGAACCTGGTGTGCCGGTGCTGCAAGGCGGAGGATTAGCCTATTGAGCCGTGGCGCCGGCCTGGTATTTTCATTTGTAAAAATAATCTTTTCCCAGCCATTGTAGAAACTACAGGGAAAAAAATGTCAGTCATTTTGGAAACGATGCAAGAGTGAAGCATCTTGAAGAGGGGCAGAGAAGGGTGTTGGCTATCAGCACCCCCGTCAGAAGCATCTGGGAAGCATTTACAAACAACAGGGCACTCTCCTGGTTGAAAACCATCTTCAGCTGGAATGTTTGAACCCTTTACTAGGGTATTTGATGATAAGGCAAATAGCCTCTTTTATTAGGGGGGCATCCTTGAAATTAATGTATGCTTATTAAAAGGAAATGGAATAATAATAGAATGTTCTAAAACCAGAAGGCAAAGTGTGTGTCTATGTTTGGAACCAATTAATAAAGAACATACATTTGGAGGTGATGTAAGTGCCTGAAACATGGAGTGGCATTCTGTTTTAATGAGTTTTCATTTTTGCACTTCTGAGATGGCAGAAGCCAGTCACTTGCAATCCAGGCTCCCACGTCTTTGCTGTCTGGCTCCTGCCCTCTGGCCCACCTTGGATAGTGGGGCGACCTGGTGCGTGCACATGGTGGGACAGAGGAGATGTCCCACCAGCCCCCAGGACTTCTCTAATGCAAATGTGGGCCACAAGGGTCTGTTCAAGGGGCCTCAGCACACCTTGGTTCCTCCTCTCAGCCAGAGAAGGGAGGGCTTGAGAAGCGGACTGGCGACAGGGCCTCCGGGTCCACAGGTGGACTGTGGAACAGCTCACAGACACACAATTTCGGGCAAAGGGAATTTCATACATACAGTTTTGTTCTGCGGCTAAGAGGACTTACTGTCAACACTGACTTTATAGTTTGATAGTGAAATATCTTTCATTAAAGAGCACCTAAATGATAGTCAAGTTAGCATATCGTTATTTATTCATTCAGGTCTGTGTATAATTAAGCTTACTGAACACCTACCATGTCCCAGCGTTTCCACAAAATAATCTATAAAGCTGCTCATCCTAGGCCGGCGCTGCGGCTCACTAGGCTAATCCTCCGCCTAGCGGCGCCGGCACACCGGGTTCTAGTCCCAGTCAGGGCGCCGGATTCTGTCCCGGTTGCCCCTCTTCCAGGCCAGCCCTCTGCTGTGGCCAGGGAGTGCAGTGGAGGATGGCCCAGGTGCTTGGGCCCTGCACCCCATGGGAGACCAGGAAAAGCACCTGGCTCCTGGCTCCTGCCATCGGATCAGCGCGGTGCGCCGGCTGCAGCGCGCCGGCCGCGGCGGCCATTGGAGGGTGAACCAACGGCAAAGGAAGACCTTTCTCTCTGTCTCTCTCTCTCACTGTCCACTCTGCCTGTCAAAAAAATAAATAAATAAAAAAAAAAAAAAAAAAAAGCTGCTCATCCTTTTACCTGCCATGCAAAGGAGATACTGCTAATCCCTGGTTTAGATTTGAGGAAACTGAAGCTTCGTGAGGTTTAACTAAATACCCCAAAGGACAGCGAAGTTCACAGCCACAATCTCAACTCCTTAAGAGCCTGTGCATTTCCTTTAGTCTTCTATGGCTTCCCCTCAGTCCTCAGGGAAATTCACAGCCAACTCAAGAAATGACTGGTGTAGCACTATGAGAGGACTTCCATAAGTTCAAAATCTTCCATTTGCTGATTCACTCCTCAAATGGCCTCAGTGGCTGGGACTGGTCCAGGCTGAATCCAGGAGCCCAGAAATCCATCTGGGTCTCCCACATGGTCCACTGCTTTCGCAGGCATACTTGCAGAGAGCTGGATCAGAAGTGGAATAGCCAGGACTCGAACTGTCACTTCTGTATGGGATGCTGGCATTGCAGGTAGCAGCCTAGCTGTACTGTGCCACAATGCTGACTCCTGCCTGTTCATATCTTAAAGGCGAGGGGTAACGTAGGGTTATGGGCATCCCTACCACCCACAGTGGCCCTGCCCATGTACCTCGACCTGTTCTGACCTGTCCAGGCCCTTCCTCATTTGTAGATGAAGAAACAAGGAAAACCATGGACTACAACTGTCCACCAGCTAGCTGTTCTGTTGCCCAGTTGCCAGTGAGGATCTTTAAAAATGTGAGACAAACAGTGGTACTTCCAAGTTTTGTATTTGTGTGAGCAACCAGTTTTAAAAACATTCATGTCATTTAACGTTCCTTCTTCCCAAAATCCTGTGCAGTAGTCACAGGCCAAGTCACCAGGCCAGTTCGCGGCTGAGCGCTCAGCTTTCAATCCTTGCTAGCTTCCACATTACAAACAAAATTTCCTTTCCTCATAAGCCCAACATTACCAAGATGTTTCTTTAAAAGAAAAATGTTAAGACTTTATTCAAGATGTTTATCAGGCATTGTAACAAAACAGCAGAACTTCAACCTTTGGAATACTGTAGTTTTCATCCCTTTGATGCACAGTCCGGTATACTGTTCCATCACAGATCGCTCTACAGGGGAACTAGCGCACAGCACGGTCCAGAGTCAGCTCTGTGCGCGCCGACAGGATGCCGCGCGTCCCCTGCCGCTTCAAACACCGTGCAGGGCGGAGGACCCGGGAAGGCTCAGTGACAGTCATGGTTGACAAGCACTCACCACAGACACATGGACGGCTCCCCACGGACAGCACACGTGTCGGAGGCCAGCAAAACGAGCATGCTATTCACGCACAGCCAGGAGGGGTTGTGGCCGAACCCTCCAGGTTATAAGCACAAGACCACATGGCCCCTCCCCAGACACGGAACAGGTGTTCAATGGCAGTTACCTAAAAGTTATGACATGGCAATTTACAGACTTTCCAGCTAGCCTTCTGTAAACAGCCTGTGTGTAATAAGTCAGTAAGTTAAAGACATTCAGTTCTACCCTTCAGACAACACCACAGCACTACATGTACACTGATAGGCATTCACATTTTATGTCAGTTCACACACAAGTATACAGCCTGTTGGATCAGTAAACACATTTTGCCAGAAATATGACAGCTGCTCTCAGTTGTACAGTGAGTGTCTTTAAGAAAGAAACCAACTCTCTAGTCAACACTTGCAGGAAGAAAACGGTACATGTACATTAAGACAGCAGTTTGGAGACCTTTATATTTAATCTTGAATGAGAATAATACAGCATGTCTGAAAAGTAGAGTGCTTCAAACTTTTTTTTTTTTTTTTTGGCATAGTTGAGTGCAAACTTGATAGCCTGTACTGGTTATAACTTGCCATTGTAAAATGGTGACAACAGAGCTTGTTCACTATCGGATTTTAAATTCTGCTGCTAAAGGCATTTAAGTATCTTGGCAAAACGAAAGTTGCTAAAAAGCTGCTTAACTTAAGCTTTTTTGCACTCATTTCTGTCCATCCTAGCTCCAAGTAACAAGCAAACACATCTGAAAGAACCTGCTTCCTTCTGGAGTGATTCCGTGATGCCTGCCTTTCCTAACGGGTTTAGGCATCGGTGGGTGTGGGGCGCAGGCAAGGGACTGACAGTGTCCGTTAGCCGTCTCAGCCTCCAGCTGGCTTTTGGATTATTTTCCTAAGTCTTTTTGTAAAATGCAAAGTCACCAACAGAGGAACTGTAGGAAGAAGGGATTTCAGTATGTACATCTGGCAACAATCAGGTCAAACAATTTCTGGGTGGCTAAGATCCAGCTAATGTGCCGTCAGCCAAGGCCGCCGAAGCGTGTTTTCGTGGCTGCGTAAGGGGGCGGTGTTTAGGTGGGCCTGTGGGCTGACAGTTTAGCTGGGTTGACAGTAGGTTCCGTGTGGTCTACAACACGGATTCTCTAGTCCTCAAGGCATGTCTACCAACACACGGTCCACACGCTACGAGTAACTGGGCTGCGGCCACTGCATGCGTTACACTGAAAGAACACACCAACTCTAAGCACAGGTGCGCTGGTCCTGTGGTTCAGCTCAGCTTTCGCGGGGAGAGCACGGTGCTATTCCAACCAGATTCTTCTTTTCCTCTCAGACTTCAGTCCTCTACTGAGCAGTCCGGCCTTGTGTAAAACATTCCTTAACACCTATAGGGCCGTGAGCGTCAACCCCCGCCCCACCCCCACACACATACACACACACATAACCATGTTCTACACAGGCCAGGAGTGACGGACAGCTACCCGGATGTGAGCTACCAGGTCTTACCCATAAAGGTCTCAGACTCTAAAGCGCTGCTAGAACCACTGTTTGGACTGTTGCACACGTGCCGTGGGTGTACTTTACAGCTTATCTGAAACAGCAGAGTTCTAGGATTTTGTTGTTGCCTAATGTGCTCTAAAACAAGGTGCTCAGGTTTTAAGCTCTTGCGCCTGAGGCAATCAGCTGCGGCTCTGGTCACTGTGAAGGAGAAATGGCCATTCACTACGCACTTGGGAGACACTCCAGTATTCCTCTCGGCAGCTCTGGGGGTCCCCATCCCTACGAAATTTTGCCAGAGTTGAGCCATTGCTGAAGGCAAGGATAGATTCCCTGGGAGGATTCAGAAACTCCCAAGACGAACTTCCTGGGACTCTAATCCCATGAAGCTACTCTGACCTCTCGCCACACCCATCTCTGTTGCCAGAACATCCTCCCTCGTCTCCTCTCCCAGCCTCTCCGGCCTACCGACGAGCCAGCTCTGAAGGGCAGGGAGAGGGATGTCTTGCTGGAGTTACGTTTGGAAGCTTCACAAGCACATCTGAGACATTTTCTTGAATCAATTCTTTTTTCTTTTTACATGTCTGTTTTTGCAGTTTTCTCACATATCAGAACCTCTGGCAGCCCTTGCAAGTCCATTATGTTAAGCAAAAAGCCATAAATATGTACATCATAGTCCCAAGTATTAGTACCAAGAACAAAAAAAAAGATTTTTTTAAAAAAAATTGCTTGGTTTGCATGTACAGGACTAAAAACTAAGTAGGCAACAGATAAATTACACATGTACATCTCAGCAGCGTCAGGGTGGTGCCGCCTTTCTGAAAACACACCGCTGGGTGCCGTGGCGAGCCAGTCGTGGGCAACCACCAACCTCAGGGACCTCACAGGTCACCCCCACCCCTTCCCTTCAGCCTCTCCCCCGCGAACCAAGGAGAAGGACAGCGACAAAAGGAACAGAACTCGTTAACGGGGGCTGGGGGAGAGAGAAAGGCCACGGCTGCGAGGCTGCACACTCAAAGCACACCCAGCTTGCGGATTTCGGTTGTTAGTGAGTAGCTCTTAAGGCAGAGAAGAAACGTTCTGTGGCTCCGGTGCCGTTGGCTCCTCTCACTCACGTGGTTTCAGTGGCCGAGGATGAGGTACTTTTCTTCCTGAAGCGAGATCGAAGAATTCTAGGCGGTGCCTGGCAGAGAGAACAGAGGAGCAGCCCTCAATGGGACAGGAACGTGCGGTCTCGTGGGGACGGCGCCTGGAGGCGTGTGTGTGAACACAGCTTGCTCCCCTTGCCAAAGGCACACTTGCGAGGCTGCTGGCAGGGGCTGGGGCCTCTCTCTCAGCCCTCGAGCCTGATCCCAGCATCCCCCTGGAGCTAAGCCACGGCAGGGAAGGCCAATGCCACCTCCCGCGGCCGCCTGCCCGCCCTCCTAATTCCCCCGAGTTCTCAGGTGAGTGGCTGTGGGGAGGGATGATGCCTCTTGTTCCCACCCTGGGAACAAAGTGATCTCCAGTGACTCAGCCTGCAGAAACGCCTCCCCATCTCTCCCCGGCTTCTGTTACTTCCGCTGGGAGGCAGCCTCGCGTTTCTCGCTCTGTGCTTCAAATTCCCGCTTCTGAATGTGAAACACGTCAGTGCACCACCGACCACATGGCAAAGGCAAGCACCGCCCAGAAGTGTGAAGGGTTAACTCCTCTCCCCCAGGGATGGCTCTCAGGGACCCCCTCCTGGGAGAGTCACAGAGCACAGTGAAAGAAAGGGGGAAACCAGCGTAGGACTGCAGCTGTGCACACGCTGGCCCTAGCCTACCCTCGGCCGGCCGTGTCTGGCCATCTCCCTGGAAGTGCACAGAACCTCTCTGTCCCCGCATGTTCACACCTGCCTGTCTGCTCGCCGGAAGCCCTTCCCTCCCTCGTGTGGCACATTTCTAGTCCTGAGGACACAGCGCAAGTCTCTTCTGCACAGGTTTTCCTAGGCCCCTCTCCCACCGTGCACTGACAGCCAGGCTTTGTCACTCGGCCTTTGCTCTCCCAAGGCGTTCCCACCCCACAGCAGAGCGCTCCACTCACTGTCTCCCGCCAGACTCTGAGCTTCTGAGGGCGGACCTGGGTCAGGCTCCCCGCCATTTCCTGGTGACTGCCTCCGCAGAGAAGGGAGGGAGCACAGAGAACAAGCATCCTCGGGATGCAGCTGGTCGCCTGGACTTGGGCGGAAGTACACTGGTGCAACCTCTCCTTTTTCATAACCCACCTCTTTGCAAGATGTTTAAGCAAACCCCTGGGCCCTAGGATGTTTTAGGCTGGGCTCCTCTCCCATCAGGAGGCTGCCAGGCTGTTGTGCCCAGGTGGGCTCCAACAGTAACGTCAGCATTGGCCCCCACGCGCCTTACCTTGCAAAGCAATCAGACGAACTCCTGCACACGGAGGTGGCCATAACTACCGTCCCAGTGTGAGTGGGAAGGCTAGGCCACTGTGCCTGTGTAGGGAACATTTCAATGCATCTCCTTGGATGAGTCTCAGAGGGTAGTGTGTGTCAGGGGATGTCCCAACCTGCCTCAGGCCCCAGGACTCAGCAGGTGGGGAATGGAACAAACCAGAGGGGCAGAGAGGGAAGCCCTGGGACCCCTGATTCTTCTGGCCTTGCCCTTGAGCCTGTAGCAGGTGGTTCCCTACTGCCACGGAGCAAGGCCTGAGCATCTTCAGGCTCAGCCTCCTGCTGCCCCATCGCCACTCCCATGTGCAGGTGGCAGTAGCACATGGGCCCAGTGTGTTGGCTCTGATAACTTGAAAGGGCTGTACCCTTCTAATGACACTATATGGACGGCCACTGTGCTGTGTCTTAGAGATGCAGATGTCTTATTTATACAGGCTTGTCGAGTCAACTCAGTTTTTTCTCCCCCCCAGAACACTCTGTTTGCATACCAGGTTAGTAATTGTTAATATTTGAAAATAAAACCAAAGAAGTCTTAGTTTCTTGGCTGCCTCTCTTATTCCTAAATAAAATTAGTAGGATCTTCTCCCCCTGGCAGGTAGCTGGCCACCACCCAGGGACGTGTCCTGCCCGCCTGATGGACGATCTCTCCACTGCAGACATGCGGGTGCCAAACGCATGCTCCAGCCCGCAGCCCCAGACACCGTGTACCTCCAGGGGCAATTCCGTCCTTCGAGGCGCCTTATACTTGTACATGAAATCCAGCAGGTCTTCCTCCTCCTCGTCAGAAAATGCCAATGGATTTTGGACCTGGTGGGGGTCCCATGCCTTCACACCACCCTCATTCACGTCTCCCTCAACCACTTAATGTCCATTTATAATCTACACAGAAGAGACAGAGCACAGCACAGGAGGATCAGTGTTGAAAGGAGCTAGCAAGGGCGGGGTTAGGCACACAGCACACGAGCCAGGCCTGGTTAGCACAGCTGAGGCCCCAGTGTCCTCCTTGCAGGACCCCGGGGACTGTGAAGTTCCCCTGACCTTATGCCCAAAAAGAGTCACCCGCTCAGAATCGAGGGACGAGCTACTCGGTCGGGCTGTGTCATGACCCTCGGGGAAGAACGAAGCATGGGAGCAGACCTGGTGAGCCGTGTGGCGCAGGCCTGATTCCATAGCAGAGCAACCTGGGGAAAGACCCTGTAGAGAGGGCAGGGCTGCATTTTCAAGAGAGAAGCACAGTTTCGACAGTGTTCACACCAGCCATCGGCAGTGCACTGCACCTGCAGATCCAGCTCTGGGCGTTCTTTAAGAGACAGCGTGTAAAATGCCAGGAAGCTTTAAGGGACAGCGGTCAGCAAAGCTTTGTAGGGTTTCATTTCCTAGGGCCAGTCCTAGAGAAGCAGAGGGTCCCAGCAAGGAGGAGCTGACAGTAGCCTCCCCTCCCCCACCAAAAACGACAACACAGTCGGCCTTGAACAATGCGCAGGAAAAGCCCCTGAATGGATGACCGCTGCTGAAGGCACAGTATTTCTCAAGTATTAAATGCTAACGTGCACTCCATGTCATCTGGCCAGGAGGATGTTTTCTGCCCGTACCCGGCTTATCTGACATGCACAGACACAGACATGCCTCTTAGATAGATGGCCAATAGAGCTACAGGGCCTCAACTCGTCAGCTCCAGCCATTGATGTCTGCAGAAAGACACCAGGGCACTTCCAGGAACACCTGCTCCTGCTCCTAAAAATGTGTGCAGCCACCAAATGTGCCATCGCTGTCAAAAGGGTCTGGCTAGACTGAAACAGCACCAGGAGCGGAGTAAAAACTGCTGAACCGTAGTCTCGAGCTTTACCAGGGGCTGCTGCTGTGCCCCCAGTTGGCCAGCAGGGGGCAGCAGGAGCACACAGCTGCCTGGAGCAAGCTTTTCAAATGGAATTGTAGGCTTAGAGGGATTTGCTTAGACTGTGCCTTATTAAGGGCCTCAGATCCTGAACATTCCTTTGATTTTTTTTTGTTCTTTTTTTGCTCCATGTGTCAGCCTGTTTACCCCAGGTTTAGGTTGTTCCCCAGCTCTTTCCCTATCCAAACAGCTGGGTTATCGGGACCATGCTGAACACAAGAATCTGCAACTCCAGGAGCCCTCCGCGATTACCCAGAATGCTTGTGCAGCATGCCCGGGCTCCTGTGTCAGGCCTGACTGGAAGCTGGTCCTCCCTGCTACGCACACCTGTCTGAGCAGCTGGCCTAGGGCCGGGGCACAGTGGCTAACTCATCAGCCAAACCAAGGGGACTCCTGAGCTCACATCTCTCATCCCAAGTCATAGCCCTGAAACCCATCATCATCCAGAAATTCCCCCTGGACAGGAGGTATAAGGCACAGGACTTCCTGCACTAAAAGCTCTCAGACCAAGGCAGGAGCTGCAGAAGCAGCTTGACCAGCTCTGCCAAGCGGGAACCCGCATCCCGGGAGGGGTGCGACACTGGCCTGAGGCTGGGCCTCTGCACACGCACGTGCTATGCCCTCTAAAGCCATAGTAGGGCTTTTCCTGTCAGAAGTCAGCCCCGAGTCGCCCTGAGATCCTGGAGTAACCAACAAGTCAGGTCTCTCGGCCAGCCTGCATGCGCCGAGGCTGATGAATGAACTCACAGGCTACCAGAACCACAGCGGCCATCTCAGGCGGCCGTGGGCATGTTCTCCACTGCATCCTAAGTGAGGGCGACATGGCTGAGAAGCAGGGACCTCCCCGTCCTCCAGGATCCACGGCCAGGGCGGAGCCCAGACACCAGAATGGAAGGAGAACACCAGTGCTGGGCTGAGCTGAGACCCGGAGCAAGGGAGGCCAGTGTGGGTGCCTGGGGGCCAGAGGCTCCTTGGAGGGGAGCTGCAGAGAGGACCTGCAGGAAACAGCAGTGCCCTCCTGGTCCCCTGAGGGCCATCGTTAATGCCCGGCCTCACTCCTGGGAGCTGGGCCGCTGAGTCCCGGTGGACCCGGCACCTCTTACCTAACTGCATCTCCCTCTTTGCAGGGGCTGCGAGCCAGCCCAGGGTCCTCGCCAATCCACACTTGAGGGCACGCCTTGAAACCTCACCCCCGATTCCTGCTTTCTTCTCCAAGCTCCACTTTTCTCACTCTGATTCTACACAGCCTATGTAGTCCCACAGCCATTTCCGGAACAGGGAGGAGTATACACCGGGGAGGGGTGGGGGGACAACCCCGCAGAACACAGCTCCAGTGGGGGCGGCACCGGGGAAACACTGCCGTGCACCTCACTCTTCCTGTCCCTAGAGACCGACACAGAATTTGCCAGCCAAGAGGTCCCTCCCCTGGCTGCACCCCTAAAGGGCATCGCTATCCACACCTCGGTGCTCTGACGCAAGGTCAGGACCCACGCCATACAAGGTTCCAAACCGAGGCCTGGAGCCCACACAGAGCTGCCACCAGGGTGGGTGCCTGAGGCTGGGGGGCCACTAGGGGAGGGTGGGTCCCTGCCGCCTTCCACGGCGAGGGCTGGCACTTCTGATCAACAAGGCTACAGTGGGCTGGGCTGGGGGTCTCCCTCCTCCCTCTGTGGGGAGGGCAGGGACTGGGAAACTGGCTGAGTCTCCGAACGGTTCAGAGGCCAGAGCAGAGCCCTGGGCCGCCCCGTGCCACTGCACAGAGACACGTGCCCTGGGGTTAGCAAACACAGCCCACACTGCACACGTGTTAGCTGCAGCGTTAACGGAAGGCAGCAGATGCTTCGGAAGAAGGGCGCGCCCGTCGGGAACACTTACATCCGCGTCCCCAGCGGCCACCAAGGAGAGAGAAGAGAAGAGCCTGTTAGGAAAGGGGCACACGCGCACCCCCACTCCTTGTGCTCTCAACCTCGGACAGCTCCTCCTCCCGCCGGAGTCGGAGCAGCTGCCCGGGGACACCCTCGAGAAAAGGCGGTTCATCCACATCCATTCTCTATCAATCTCTCTCTCTCTGCACTAAAGGATGAAATCGCGCCCCACACACTTGATTTTTAAGAAACGCCGGAGGCACCTCCATGACTGGCTAAGGCAGTGATCTGTAGGTCAGTTCCATAGGGCGTCCGAGGGGTATGGGAAAGGAGGGGAGGGAGGGAGGGTGGTGGGGGCGTGGGGGTGGGAATTGTAGAAGCACACAGAGGCAGAGGCATGCAGGGAACAAGAGGGAGTCCATTGACAGGGGCAGGAAGGGGGCAGAGGTGGGGAGAGAGAACACTCTGGAAGCTGCTAGAACAGGGGCTGCACCTGCCATCCGCTGCTCCTGGGGGCCGCGCTGCTCTGTCGCACTGTCCCCGCCCTGGGCCTCCAGGATGCCGGTCTTTCCTTCCCCCTACCCTGCGTTCTCACTACATGTTCCCGGATTGGAAACGCCAGGAACGTCTCTTTCTCTGTGCAGGGATCCTTGGGCTCTGTCCGTCCCTAACAGTGACCTGAACCTGCCCGGTGTCTCGCTTGAGCAGCCTCTGCCTCAGGCCGTCATTTCAGGGACCAGGAGGAAAGTGTCCGGGACATTCCCTACCCCAGCTGTCATGCTCCCTCACAGCACTGCTGTGTGGGAGTTGGCCTCGGGCCCCCGGGGCAAGGAAAGCTGCCCCCACTTCACACTCCAGCCATGCAGAGCTGGAAGGAGCACAGAGCTCTTCCCAAGGGCACAGTGGGAAGGGGGAGGCGGCTGATCAGACGATTCCCTGAGAGCAGGCCTCGGCGAGAGGCAGGGAACACGCAAGGGTACCCGGTGTGCACTGGGCCCTCGGAGAGGCAGGGGCGGAAGGCGGTCAGGGCCAGGCCAGCTGGAGGGCCCCGGCCAGCCCCCACCCACTGCCAGCTCCCTAACGACTTCTGTCCCCCTAGGATGAGGAGCCAGAACTGCCCCGGACCCCAGCTGGATCCTCGCACAAGCAGCCGCCAATCACCGCTGCATTCTGCACTGGCAAGGCAGCCTCTGAGCGAGACCACGGGTGTCACGGCAGGCGAGGGCTGGGAGGAGAGGATGGAGGGGAAGGCGGCTGGGCTCTGCCGGTTCCCTGAGGGACAGCATGCTTTGGGCATGGCCCATGGAATTTAACCCTGCGGTTAAAATCACAAAGGGAGGACAGCAACAGCCACGGCGGCCTGGGGCCACGGGCACTGCGTGGCTGCTTCTCTCGCTCTAGCATGTCCACGAGGCCCAAGTCCAAGTGCTTGGTTCCGGCAAGGGTTGTGTCAGTCCCTGTATTTCTGACATGGGCCTCACACCGGTCAGTGGAGCTGGAGTAGGGCACCACCAGCGCCCCCTACTCGTTCACCTTGGCCTTCCCTATGGCCTCCAAACCCTGCCCTGGTCTCTGGCAGACCTTAAGAAGCTTAGCACTTGGGGCGAGCATTTGCTACAGCAGTTAAAGATGCCACCTGGACCCCCTGCATCCCATATCGGAATGCCTGGGTTCGAGACCTGGCTTTGCTTCTGGTTCCAGCTTCCTCAGAGGCATCAGGTGATTGCTCACGTATCCGGGTCTCTACCGCCCGGGGCAGGACCTGGACTGAGTTCCAAGCTACTGCTTTGGCCTGGCTCACCCCCAGCTCCTGTGGGCATTTGGGCAGCGAACCAGCAGGTGTAAGATCTTTGTCAGGCTCTGTCTCTCTGCCTTTGGAATAAAAACTAAAGGAGGCTGGCGCCGCGGCTCACTAGGCTAATCCTCTGCCTTGCGGCGCCGGCACACCGGGTTCTAGTCCCAGTCGGGGCGCCGGATTCTGTCCCGGTTGCCCCTTTTCCAGGCCAGCTCTCTGCTGTGGCCAGGGAGTGCAGTGGAGGATGGCCCAGGTCCTTGGGCCCTGCACCCCATGGGAGACCAGGAGAAGCACCTGGCTCCTGCCATCGGATCAGCGCGGTGCGCCAGCTGCAGCGCGCCGGCTACGGTGGCCATTGGAGGGTGAACCAACGGTAAAGGAAGACCTTTCTCTCTGTCTCTCTCTTTCACTGCCCACTCTGCCTGTAAAGAAAAAAAAAAACTAAAGGGATGGAGGGAAAACAGAAGACTGCATTGAATGCCATTTCATGTCCTCCACTCTCCAGCCATGTGGGAGCGATGTGCATGCCTCAGCGGCACCGGGGCCGAGAGCACAGGTGGTTACGGCCATGGTGCGCGCCTTCCTTCCTCCCTCCCCTCCCACCGGCCAGCGGCTGCAGGCCAGGTGGGGCCTCTCTTGTCTTCTGGGCCAAAGGCAGCTCCTCCACAGGCAGCCAGGCAGGGTGAAAGGACTACCCTGGGCCCCTGGCTACTCCCTGATGTCTGGTTAAGGTTGGGCAGGCCATGAGAGCAGCAAGGCCAGCATGGTGGCCTCGTGCACCAAGCTACCCCCACGCAGTTGGAGGGCAGCAGCAGGCATCTCCGAGCGGCGCTGGGAGATCCGTTCTCCCCAAGGTCTCCCGGCTGCTCCAGGCTACAACAATAAAACTGCAAAAAGCCCTTTCATAGCATTTCACAACGGTGCGGAGAGGTGGGAAAGCAGGGGTCTTCGTCTCCACTTTAGGAAGAGGAAATTCGGCGAGGTTAGGCGATTCACGCAAAGTCGCACAGCCAGTAAGTGGCAAAGCAGGACCTGGGCTCCCTTGGCTGCACCAGGACCAGAAGCGTCGAAGGCTCTTAGTGAGTTCCCGTGTCCACCTGGCTCAGAGCACAAGGAAGCCCGGCCCTGCTGGGGGTGGAAAATGTCTCCGCGCGTTCCTCAATACTCCCCCCTTAGAAGGCAGGGATTGGTTCTCCTGCCTTCCGGGTGGGCTGCCCTTGGTGACTCGCTTCCAGCAGAGTAAGGCAGGTACCACTTCAACGGCCCCGCAGCTTCCTGCCTGCCCTACCCCCTCGGACCACTTGCTCCGGGCCAAGCCACCTGCCATGTTGTAAGGACTCTCAAGCAGCCCCAGGGAGGCCCATGTGGTGAGGAACTGAGGCCTCCGGCCAGTAGCCACAGAAATCCATCTTGGAAATGGATCCTTGGGGCTCAGTCAAGCCTTTGGGGGGCTCCGCCTGGCCAGTGTCTTGACTGAGGGGCCTTGTCACTCAGTGAAGCTGTCCTACCTCCGCAGGCCACCGAAGTTCTGAGGTTGTGTGCCTGCTGTTTCAGGGAGCTAACCTCCTGGCCCGCCCCCAAGCATGCAGCTGAAAGGGAGCCGCAGGGTCAGGTCCAGCTCAGGGTTAGAGCCTCGTCCCAAGGCGTGAGTCCAGCACACTGGCCACAGGCTGGCTGCCTACTTACCTTTCCGGGTCCTGCAGGTGGAGCAGCAGGTGCACACTGTGGGAACGGGGCAGGCGCCATCAGTGACAGCCCCCACCAGACAGGAACCAGCCCCAGGTAAACGGGGAGGCCCTGGACAGGTGTGGGCACCCCAGTGTTTTCAATAAGGGGTTTCGAGGACTGTGGGTCTCTGCAGAGACACCAGGGCAGGGAAGGGGATCATTTCTCGGGTGCTGGGCCAATGCTCACATCAAAGTCTCCTCTGGGAAGTAACTCCCACCGTCCTGCCAGAGCCGCCTCCTCTTTACTCCTTGTGGTTCAGAAGTTCTCCAGGGACCTGCTCTGGTTGACCTCTGAACCCCTCAGTACTGTGCCTGGGCAGCTGGCTGAGGGCCTAACTGGCTGCCGTGTCTTGGTGCCACAGTGGTCCTGGTGCAGGTCTGGGCTTTGGCAGACAGCAGGTGCTCACTGAATACACAGAGTGACCTTGAGCCCATGGAAGGCCAGGATTGCTTCCGCACTCTCCCCCTGCTGGTGTGCAATGCTAGGCGTTCATTATCTACCTCCCAGTGTACCTGACCCGCCCCTCCCCCTGGAGGAAAGCTCCAGGTGGGGGAGGGGCGGGTCAGGTACACTGCCCAGCTCCATCCCGGGTGCTGAAAGCCACAGGGAAAGACCCATCCTTCCCCGTCCAGTGCCTAGACCCCATGTCCTCGCACCACACGGCGCCAGGCCACTGGGCAGGGGTAGTTACAGAGGAAAGCACAAAGCACATGTCTGCCTACCAGGAGTTCGCAGAACAAAGCAACCACTCAAGTAGTCTGTGCTCCCTCCTCCCGTCCTCCCATGCTGCCGTGGCCTTCCCTTCCTCAAGGGGCGATGCTGTGGCACAGCCGGGTGAGCTGCTGCCTGGGACGCCTGCATCCCATATCGGAGAGCCAGTTCAAGTCCTGGCCACTCCACTTCTGATCCAGCTTCCTGCTAATGCACCTGGGAGGCAGCAGATGAGGACTCAGTAACCGGACCCCTGCCACTCACGTGGGACACCTGGATAGCATTCTGGCTCCTGGCTTTGGCCTGGCTGAGCCCTGGCTGTTGCAGGCATTTGGGGGAGTGAACCAGCCAGATGGAAGGTATCTATCTCTTTCTCTGTGTCTGCTTTTCAAGTAGACGAAAATAAATAAATGTTATTTTAAAAAAAGACGCAGAGGTTGAGTGGGTCTCCATCTCAGTTCACAGCATATCCCATACGCCACTCACAGTCTCCTTCTTCCCGGAGTGACAATTCCAACATTTTAGCATTCAGTTAATCTTTTGGATTAAACCTGTTCTGCTTGTAAGACTCTGATTTTGTTCTACATAAACGGTTACACAACATCACACTCTTCTGTGCTGTTTGCACTGGGTACTGGGTTTGCGAGATCCATCTGGGCATCCCCTCAGCCTGCTGCTCCCAGTGACTGAACAGGAAAGTCCATGGGGTGCAGCCACCACCCTTGACCTGGCCTCCTCCCACGGTGTCCCCAACACCTGCCACCTGTCCAGGGCTTCTTTCCTCACAACCCCAAGATGTAGGGGCTGAACAGAGATAACTTCTCTCCCTTTTATTCCAAAGGGGCAAGCTGGATGGAACGGGGTCTGCCTCTGGTGCTATGGTCGAATTGTCTACTGGCGACCGCCTCGGGCAGCGCCCCGAGCGTGGCTCTGAGGCTGAGGACGGAGCAGGGGTGGCCCAGGGTGGTGTTCGCTCAGTGATGTCTGCCTCGCTGTGTTGCCTCTGCCATGTGTGCACAGGCCTAGGGACTCCTAGCCAGAATGGCAGCCCAGGGTCCACCCCTCCACCAGGGTCCCTTCCCTCACCTGACCAGGCCTGGTGTCTGCGGCTCCCACAGGAGGTTGAGCTGGGACGAGCACAGCACCCTTGGATGGCTGGGCTTCCTTTGCTAGCTTCCTCACAGGCACCCCAACTCTCGACTTGAGGGTACAACAGCCCCCAGAGCCTCTGACCCAGGAGCTCCTGCCCCACGGCCAGGACCTGGGCCGTCTCTCACTTGCCTTTCTCCCTGAGCTGGCTTCTGTTTGAGGCCCCAGAGCAGCTGTGGTGAGCGCCCTCCCAGGGCCAGCACCTCCCTCTCGGCCCCCCAAGGGCACAGGTGTGAGGGGCCAGGCAGTGTGGGGGGGCCGGGGTATGTTGCAACATAGCTGTTCTCACGGCTGGTGCCTGACCCCGGCTGCTGAGGGCTCCCCACTGTCCCTTGAGGCGGGCAGGGGATGTCACCTGCTGTGCAAAAGTTTAGCCAGAGTCTAAACAAATCATCCCAAACCCTTCTGTCCTTTGCACTGGGCCAGGAAGATGTTAAGGGCCAGGGGATGCTCCGGACGTCATTTAGACGCTGCTAAACATCTCGCATTCCCAGTCTTGAGGCTGCCCCAAGAACCCAGCACGGGGAGGTCTGGGCAGGAGCCTGGATTCCAGCCCTGTGGCACTCTGGCCCAGTGCACGACCTCCTGAGCCTGTCTCCTCCACTTGGCTCACCTCTGTATTGGCAGGTTGGACTCGGAGGGACTGGACTACAGGGCCACCTCCCAGCCACAGCAAGGACCCCAGTCTAGGGTCTGGCCGTTTAACTTGGGCCTCCCCAGTACACGCACGGCAGTAGAGGTGCTCCCTCCAGTGAGAACATTCACACCAAGAACAGGAACTGTGGCTGCTGAAGTGGTCCAGCGCCAGGCGGGACCCCGTGCACTCTCATTCGGTCTGGTCCCTGTGAACCCTCACAGCCTGACACGAGTGCATGGGAACAAGGAGTCTGCAGCATGGAGAAGGTGAACAGTGAGCCAGGGTCCCACCGCTGGGAGGCGCTGCCCCTGGCCACGGCAGCCCTGTGGTGCCCGCTCTGCCTTCTGGGCCTCGCAGAAGTGGGGCCTTTTTTTCCTTCCAACTGGGAGTTTTCCTTTGCCGTAGCCACTGAGCAGATTGAGGATGGAGATATTTCCTATTCCATTTTACACTCTCGTTCCAGAGCCGTGACTGCGTGCCCCGCGCAGGGAGGCCTGGGCACTGGCCTGGGTGTGAGGAGGCCGTGATCCGCTGTGGCCCGCCCCCATCATGGGTGACCCTGTGACAGTGCCCTGGCCTGAGCCTGTGCCTCTCCCCTGCTACAATCGGAGGGTTATGCTGAGTGGATGCTGCCCAGCCTCTGGGGGTCCCACTTGAAGGTCCTGGGGGAGGGGTGCCCCCAGAGACAACCACTCCCTGAGGTGTCACTCACCCTTACAACCCAAGCCTCTACCTCCCAACCCTGCTCTGCTGCCTGCCAGCAGTGACAGGGTTAACACATCTTCCAGGGTGGGCGTCCTGCCACGGCAGTGGGCTAGACCCCTCCTAGGACACCCGCACCCCCTACCAGAGCACCAGTTCAAGTCCTGTCTGCTCCACCTGCAACCCAGCTCCCTCTAATGCACCTGGGGAGGCAGTGGAAGATGGCTCAAGTACTTGGGTCCCTGCCCAGCCGTGTGGGAAAGTTCCCAGCTTAGACCTGGTCCAATCCTGGCTGTTGCAGGTATTTGAAGTGTGAACCAGCAGATGGAAAATCTGTCTCTCCCTCCCTGTTACTCTGCCTTTAAAATAAATAAATCTTTATGTTTAAAAAAAAAATCTAACAGAAAAGCCAAAATCTCCAAACGCTGTGGAAAGGCAAAGTGGACATCCAGGCGCAGGTGGAGGTGTGTGTGTGGGGGGGTACTGGTGGGCATCCTAGGGCAGAGCCTGGCTTTGAGCGTGCATCCGCATCCCCACAGCAGCCACAGGGTTCACCCTTTTCCATTCGTGCCTGAGACCCCCAGAGTGAGTCTGTACCCAGGGCTCCCAGGCAGGCTGCATGTCCCAGCATGCTGTCAGGGCCGGGATGGTCTAAATGCCCCCAGTTGTATAATGGTTGGCTGCCACCAGGCACACAATGAGGCCACAGATTACAAACTAGTGGTCCAATACCCACCTCTCCCACCATGGGGACCGTTCCCCTGTCCCCAGCCATTGGCCTTTGCTAGCGGCAGCCACGCTCAGCTCCCAAGCCAAGGTCCCTGTCACCTCTGCAAGGGACAAGTTGAGGAAACCACAAGTCCGGGCCCAGTTCCCAGCCCTGGAGTCCACGCCTCTACCCTCTGGGAGCCTGAAACCCACACAGATGGATCAGAAGCCAGGAGTTCCCAATGATGCGTCTGGGGCTCACCCTGCACCCACTAAGGCCTCTGGCAGGTTGGCCCAAACTCTGCAAGTTTAATGAAGTCCCCAGGTCAGTCTCACCGTGGGCATCTGACACCCAGACATGGGCAAAGGAGAGAGGGGTGAGGTGTCCGGAGGCCGTGGCCAGTGCTGGAATTGGACCTCAGAGCTGGACTGGCCCTCGGTGTGCAGGGCAGGAGGTGTGTGTGGTTGGAAGGAGGGTAGGGGATGAGGAGGAGAAGGTGGAGTGTCAGAGGGGACAGGAAATGTGCAGGTAGGAAAGAGGACCCATGGCAGCTGTGAGCCCTGGGTGGAGCACAGACAGGTAAGTCCCCGAGGGAGTGGGGTCAGAGAGGAGGACAACGACAGCTCCCAAGGCCCAGGTCCAGATGCATGTGTTGTCTTTAGGGCAGGCCCAGGCACCACCAGCAATCACGGTCAATTCCCCAGGCCATCGGGAGGAGGAGGTCGGACCCTTTGGCTTCCTGCCCTGGCCTGGCCTGGTGTGATGGACATCTCTGATGGTGGCAGGTCCATGGGGCTGGGGCCACATTGCCTGCTGCATGGCAGACCAGATGTCTTTCGAGGAGACCAAGAGCAAAGGGGTGGGAAAGGGGAAGTGAAGCGACACCTACCTGAGCTGCCAGCGCTCTCGGAAGCACTCCGGGACATCTTGGGCTGGCCGTGCTTGCCGCTGGCCCTCCCGGGCCCTGGTGGAGGGGGTCCCGAGGGAGCCGGGGCACCGTCGCCCCTGATGGTGGTGAGGTCCTGCATGCTGAAGCTCCGGAGTCTCTCGGATAAGGCCCCCTGTCCCTGGACACAACATAGGAGGACACACGTTAGGGGCCTGGCCCACAGGTTCGCAGTGGGGAGGTGTATGTGTGTGGGGGGGATTCAGGCACGAGATGGGCCCAGAGGGAGCACTGATGGTCAGCAAGGGGCAAAGACACAGAACACCTCTGCGGGGGGCAAGTGCATGGCTGGATGAGGCTCAAGCCCCGGGACACTCCGAGGCCTCCCGGGGACGCAGCAACTGCTCCTGGGGCTCCTTCAGCTGCCCCCAGGACGAGCTAGAGCCTCAGGCAGACCCAGGGCCAAGGCAATGGCCATCCCTCTCCAGAGGTCGCCGGCTGCTTCTCTTGCTTGCTTGCAGAAATAAAAGTCCAGGCAGGACTATGTCCTCCTCAATTCCCACTACACCAGCATCTGGCTGAAAAACCAAAGCCTACCATGCACATGCTTGGTCCTTACTCATTTCAAAGGCAAGAAAATGCAACCTGTATTCTCAGAGACATAGGACACCGGCCATTTCTTTTATCCGTCCGCATGTTACTGCTTATATGGCACCTTCACTTCTGGGGCACTGATGCTTCATACGATACCCAAGAGGCAATAAGTCAGGAAGGAAAACTTTATTACAAAATGAACAAAAACCTGGGGACCGCGCCATTTCACACTCGGAGGGAGCCACAGAATTCATCTCGGGCGAGGGGGGACTGCTCTTTGATCCAGGTAAGCAAGACGAATGTGCTCTACTTAAGACAAGGCCCTCCCTGAGTGTGGATAGGAGAGTGGTGAGGGCTGGGGATGGCGGCAAGGCCGTATGGGTGCCTTGGGGGTGCAGCAGGGGCTGGTCGGAGACTGGGCTTACAGGAACGGGGCTGCAATTCTGAGTAAGCAGTGACAGGTGAGTGAGCACCAGGCAAAGCCATGGGCACGGGAGGTCGGGAGGAGACGGCCTTTACTTGGTAATGAAGGAGAGTGCTCCGATGGTCTAGAGGACCTGGGGATTCTGGGGCACAACAAACACATTGGAACCAACAGAGTCAGCAGGAACCTGAGCAGCCAGTGAGGGGGCACTCGGGGCAGGTGGTGGTGCTGACGGCACAGGCAGGCACCCAACTGCTGGGGAAGAGGCTTTCAGACATGGGAGATGGGTCTGGGGTTTTGTTTTGCTTCTTTTCACATAATAATAATAATAATAAATAATTATAATAAATGAAAACAGAGCCACAGGCATAGCAATTCACTGTAGTGAAAGATCCAGACGAGACAAAAGGGTAAATGCAAACAAGGAGTTTACAAAAGAGGAGGGGCACACCAGAGAGGTTTGCAGACAGCTTAGAAGAATCAAAGATGTGTGAAAACAAGAGCCAGATGAGTTCCCAACCTACCAAAGACATAAAGCCCACGGCTCCAGGAAACTAACAAGAACAGAAAGAAAATCAAATAACCAAATGCACACAGTGAGAATGACAAATGTGGGCCGAGGAGTGCCTGCAGGTCACCGCAGGTGGAAAGACAGAAATGACCCTGGCTGCCCGAGACCCTGCTCTAGAACAACACCGGGCAGGGGCACAGCCCTCACATTCTAGAAGTTACCAGCTGGGTTTTGTTTTCTTTTTTCCCCCAAGACAGCGGAGGCTGGAGCAGCCACCTGTTCTACACCTGCTCCAAACCTAACAGCCAAGGACCCACAGTTATTTTACTCAGAAATATTTTCTATGGCATCAAGACTTGAGAAGCAACTTAGTAACTAAAGAACAAAAAGTGACTCTGAAAAAAAGTGAGAACATATTCTGGCCATTACAGCTGAGGAGTTCAATGTGGGCAAGCCACTCACTGGTCTACACTTTCATCACCCCCCTACCTACCCATTTATGTGTTGTTTCCTATGGGAGAGACACCGAGCTATTAGGAAATACCAAACACCTAGCTCAAGCTCTGATGAAATGTAAAAAGTCATATGTACACACAACGCAGAGGTGCCAGATCAGAAGTCACAAAAACTTGACAATAAAGAGCCACAGTTCTCAAGTCAGACTTGGATTCAAATTCCTGTCCTAACATTTGATGTGTGGGTCACCTCTCTGCAGCTCAGTGCCCGCCTCTGCAGAAGAGCAACCCCCAGCGGTAGCAAGGATCCAATGAGTTTATGCCTCTGACACCCCCATTGCAGACCACTGCACAGTGACTATTTAGAAATGTCAGCGACAATGATGCTGATGTGGCTTCCTGAGACACGCAAGTCTCTGGTGAAATCAAAGAGAGAAAAGTCACTTCTGACCAAAGAACCAGGGGGGCCTGTGTGACTCCAAGCCCCAATGGACGATCAGGGACGAACTCGGTTAACAGAGCCTACTCGTTCTTGCAGATGCTCAGCGACACATCTGAGCGACAGCCGCAGTAAGCAGCCTCCACACTTGTTTTGGTCAAGTGCTCAACTTCACTCCTAGAACCCGGCCAGTCTAGCTCTAATGTCGCTGGCGTCATGAAGGCTGGAAGTGGCAGAGGTCAGGAGATAATAATAGCTCAGCTCCAACCCAGTCCTGTGTCACAGGCAGTCATGGTGGCCAGGCTACACGGGTCTTGACAACAAATTAGCCCTTACCTGTCATAACCATTTGAGATGGCGGAAGTCACTACGTCCGGCTCACCCGCAACCCTCTCAGCTCTGCTCAGCCTCTGCTGAGAATCTCACCCCCGTCCATCATCCCTGCCACCTCGGCCCTGCCCTGGAGCACCTGCACTGTGGCAGCCGGACCACCGTCTCCTGGGAACCACCAAGACTTGTTCACTGGTATTCTGCAACCCTGGGTTCCCGACCCGGGGAAGAGAAATTTGGATTCCCTAATTTTTGAAACGCGTAATTCGGGAGCCATGTCACTGTGCTCAAAGTGTTGCACGGTCCTGCAGTGTTTTGGGTCCTCTAACTCCATGTCTCCTAAATATGTTTGACCACAGTGGGATACATGGCTAGTTGACTGACCACAGGACATTCTTGAAATGGTGAGAAAAAGTATATTCCATGGCTACAGATGACAGCCTGATGATGCATCCCCTGGCCAGGGGGATATAGGTAGAAGTCGGCTGGGAGACTGCTGGGAAAAGTATCTTCCCTTCCTGGTGTGCAGGAGGAGAAAGGCCTGAGCCCTGATCTCTGCTCTCTGCTCTCTGCCTGTGAGTGTGAGGCGCCTGCCTGGCCCTGACATCCTGTGGTTGGGAGCATCGGTCACCCACTCAGCACCTTGACTCCCAGACTTGCTGTCAATCATTTCCAGAAGCTCTGAGATGCGTCTCTTCTCAGCCCTGAGCCTGGGGTGGGTCCTGCTCACAGAAGAACCTCTTGAGGAAGGGATACAGGTCCTGGTTGTCAAAACAAGATGCCACAGACGCCTTTTGGTATGACCAAGGAGGTGGCAGCATCAGAACTGGCAGAACGGGATTCAGTGGAAGGAATGAGAAGCCCGCAAACGGCAGCTTCCGTCATCAACTCGATGGAAGGACCTGGGAATGACATGTGGCAGTCATACGTGGACGCGCTGGGAGGACCAGGGAATGACACATGGTAGTCATACGTGGACACAATGGGAGGGCCAGGGGACAACATGTGGTGGTCATATGTGGACACACTGGGAGGGCCAGGGGACGACACGTGGTGGTCATATGTGGACGCGCTGGGAGGACCAGGGAATGACACATGGTGGTCGTATGCGGACGAGGAGAGGATGGGTGCCGAGCAGCTCTGCAGATGAGGAAGCCAAAGTGAGTGCAGGAAGACTTAGACTGACTTATTGTACTTAGATGAGGGGACTTGCAAAAGTTCACAGAAGACGGGATTACAGATGAATTTATTTGGATGTGAAACATTTTTTAAAATCCATGCATAGGGGCCAGCGCTGTGGCGCAGTAGGCTAAGCCTCTGCCTGTGGGGCCCGCATCCCCGATGGGCACCAGTTGGAATCCCAGCTGCTCCACTTCTGATTCAGCTCCCTGCTAATTGCCTGGGAAAGCACTGAAAGATGGCACAAGTGCTTGGGATGGAAGACCTTTCTCTCTCTTCCTGTTTCTCCCTCTTTCCCAGCAATTCTGACTTTCAAACAAATAAAATAAAATCTTAAAAAAAAAAGATTATCCAGGGTCAGATGGTGCAGTGGGTTAAGCCACAATCTGGGCTGCCCAGCTCATCCTAACATACCCTTGGAGGCAGCAGATGATGGCTCAAGTGCTTGGGCCCCTCGCCATCCACACAGGAGACCCAGATGGATGTACAGGTCCCTAGCTTTGGCCTGGTCCAACCCTGGCTGCTACAGGCATTTGGGGAGTAAACCAGTAGATGGAAGATCTCTCTGTTCCTCTCCCCCCAACCCCACTCCTTGTTTGTCTCTGATGCTCTGCCTTTCAAGCAAATGAAATAAATAAATATTATGAAAAATAGAGGTCAGCGCTGTGGAGCGGGGAGCAAGCTGCTGCCTGTGACACCAGCATCCCACATGGACGCTGGTTCAATCCTGGCTGCTCCGCTTCTTCTTCTTCTTTTTTTTTTAAAGATTTATTTATTTATTTGAAAGGCAGAGTTACAAAGAGGCAGAAGCAGAGAACTCTCTCATCCACTGGTCCGCTCCTCAAATGGCTGCAATCGCTGGAGCTGCACCCATCCAAAGCCAGAAGCCAGGAGCCCCTTTTAAGTCTCCCATGTGGGTGCAGGGGCCCAAGGACTTGGGCCATCTTCTGCTGCTTTCCCAGGCCATAGCAGAGAGCTGGATTAGAAGTGGAACAGCTGGGTCTTGAACCGGCGCCCATATGGGATGCTAGCACTGCAGGCGGCGGCTTTACCTGCTATGCCACAGCATGGGCCCCTGCTCCACTTCTGATCCAGTATCCTGCTAATTCCTCCTAAAGGTCTGGGAAAGCAGCTCAAGATGGCCCAAGTGCTTGGGCTCCTGCTACTCATGTGGGAGACCTGGAAGAAGCTCCTGGCTCCTGGCTTGGGCCTGGCCTAGCGCTAACCATTGTGACCATATGGGGAGTGAACCAGCAGATGGAACATAGGTCTCCTCCCTCCTCCCCATCCCCATAACTCAGACTTTTTAATTAATAAATAAATCTAAAATAAATATTTTTAAGAATACTGTATAAAAGTGATGCACGCCCGGTGCCGCGGCTCACTAGGCTAATCCTCTGCCTTGTGGCGCCAGCACACTGGGTTCTAGTCCCAGTTGGGGCACCGGATTCTGTCCCGGTTGCCCCTCTTCCAGGCCAGCTCTCTGCTGTGGCCAGGGAGTGCAGTGGAGGATGGCCCAAGTGCTTGGGCCCTGCACCCCATGGGAGACCAGGAGAAGCACCTGGCTCCTGCCATCGGATCAGCGCAGTGAGGCGGCCATTGGAGGGTGAACCAAAGGCAAAGGAAGACCTTTCTCTCTGTCTCTCTCTCTCTCTCTCACTGTCCACTCTGCCTGTCAAAAAAAAAAAAAAAAAAGTGATGCACATGGAGCTGGCACTGAGGTGTAGTGGGTAAAGCCACCACCTGCAATGCCGGCATCCCACATGGGTGCCGTGCTGGTTTGAGTCTCGGCTGCTCCACTTCTGATCCAGCTCTCTGCTGTGGCCTGGGAAAGCAGTGGAAGATGGCCTAAGTCCTCGCGCCCCTGTACCTGCATGGGAGACCCAAAGGAAGCTCCTGGCTCTTGGCTTCCTGGCACAGCTCCAGCTGTTGCAGCCAACTGGGGGAGCGAACCAGTGGATAGAAGACCCCTCCCTCCCTTTCTCCCTCCCTCCCTCTCTCTCTCTCTGCCTTTGCTCTCTGTGTAACTCTGACTTTCAAGTAAATAAATAAATCTTTAATAAATAAATAAATAAATGAATAAAAGAGATGCACATAATAGAACTATAAGTAAGTCTAAAGCAGTTTTTTCAGTAAGAAGAAACAAACCTTCTAAAGTGGAAAATCTTTGTGCCCTAATTGGCAGTATTTGCTTTCTTAGTGGGACATAAGACAATGATGTCTCTGCAGCCACAGCATTTTAGAGTCAATGACACATGGCTGCCCTTCTGGTGGACGCTCCCACCAACCATCCCGACTCTTGTAATACTCTCTCCATGCACCCTATTCTTTGTTGTGCTCCTCACAGTTTTAGCTAACTACCGGCGCTGCCTGTTGGTCTGCCGCCCCTCCTGACTGCCGCAGCTTTGGCACCTGGTACGCATCAGGGGTCAAGGAGTTGAATGCACAAACACATAGCATTTACTGAGCGGCTGCCTGGGTGCAGTGCACAGCAGTGAGTCCTCACCCCCGGGATCCCAGCTCCGAGAAGTGTCCTGTTGAACAGGGCGCTGAGAGGTGTCCACAAGGAGTGTGCATGGCCTGCCAGGTGCACAGGACAGAGGGTGTGCACGTGGGGAGGCAGAGTCCCCCAGAGGAACCCCACTGGAACTGCCCTGAGACCACGTGGAGGGCGAAGCTGGGGCCCAGGTGGCAGCTACGTTTCTCGGCATCTCTAACCACTGAGGGCTGCTGCCTCTTTGTCCCATCCTAGCTGAGGTCACGGCAGCTTTGTCTGTGAAGGGGACCCTGAGTTCCTGTCCACCTGAGAAAGCGCCTGCTGAAAGGCTGCAGGATTTCTTGGGCAGCCAGCGGGTCAGCAGAGGGCAGGGTAGGAGGGAGACCTGCTCACTGCACACCCTCTTCCATCCTCTCTAAAGTCTGTACCGGGAACATGCATTACCTCTGAGAAATCAGTACAACGTAATTCTCAGTAACACCCATAGCACTCTCTGAAGGCCACACCACTTTGAGAATATAGGACTTGTGTGACGCTGACGAATGTCATCTGGACACAGAAAATGACAGGAGAATTAAACACAACAGCAACAAAGAGAACAGAGCGGGCCGGGATCATGGCACAGCGGGCGGAGCTGCTGTTGTGACACCGGCATCCCACATCGGAATGCTGTGTGCACCCCGGCTGCTCCACTCCCAATCCAGCTCCCTGTTAGCACACCTGGGAGGGCAGTGGAAGATGGCCCAAGACCTTGGGCCCCTTGTGGGAGACCAGGATGGAGTTCCCGGCTCCTGGCCTCAGCCTGGCCCAGACCCAGCTATTGTAGCCATGTGATGGAAGATCTCTTTCTCTCTGTCTCTGTCATTCTTTTAAATAAATCTATCTTAAAAAAACAAAGAAACAAAAAAAAAGGAAGTGGGAAGGAAGGTGTGGCTTCTCCAGAGACTGAGTGACCGAAGCCCTGGACGAGGTCCTCCTCCACAGGGACACCCCACGTCACAGGGGAGCCGAGCCTCCCACTGTCTGAGCCGCTCTCACTTCCCACAACATCAGATGCCTCCTACTGGCGACAATGAGAATCAAGGCAAAAGGTTTTAGTGAGTCAGGCAATTGGTACCAAAGCCAGGAACAGGACCCCGGCTCACGCTGGTAATTCACAGAGTTAGTATTTCCTTCTGGACCCCACGGCGCGCCACACCCCTGACAGTTCACCTCATAGTGACACATGCTCCCCACCAAGGCCAAGCAGACTCCTCGCCAACATGCTGCAGGAAGCCCAAGGCCCTGCTTGCAACACAGAACCAGATTAACAAACAAATGGAGAGAATGAGATAGAATTTCTGCCACAATAGCATCAGTCATCAAGTTCAATTCATTCTCCAGGCATCAAACAAAGGGCAAAAAAAAAATCCAAATAAGTTAATCACATGTTAGATGCTACCACAGGAACACACAGAGAGGCTCCGGGAGGAGGAGGAGGTAGGGCCGGCTCTGTGTGCCGGGCGCGGATGCACACACGCATACACACACAGGTGTCAACGCAGGAGAGACACCTGCCTCTGATCCAGACCACGTGCTGGTGGGCAGAGGGGGCTCCTGGATCAGTTTGGAGTTAGTCACACCTCTCAGCCGGGTTACCTGCCCTTCTCTGTGGTCCAAAGAGGAGACAAAATGAAAGAGTCGAGCCACCTGATAGAATGGGAAAGGGGAAAAAAAGCGCCATGGGCTCCCAGTTGACAAAACGGGGTTGAAAGGAATTGTGCTGTCCTCGCCTCTTCCCCACCCCCTCCCTCCCTCACACACAACAGACCCTCGTGGAGGATCCACACCACTCCGTGTGGAGTTCTGCTGAGGGTCCGGCTTCCAGGAGCTCACAGCCTAGCGAGGGGGTCCAGACCCCAGTGCGTACAAGGCAGCAAATGACAAGGACGACAGAATGGGGGACAGACAGGGCAGGGAGACAGGCCTGCCAGACGCACCTCCACGGAGGCTGAACCTGAGCAAGGGAGAGGAGGGGTGCTTACTGCCGGCAGGCGAGTGGTGCGAGCCGGGGTGTGAGAGTGGGAGCTCTTGGTACACCTGGCAAACTGAGTGGGCCACCCCGAGAAGACGCTTTGGAGCCGGTGAATAATGGGAGGTAAGCCTGAAAAAACCAGGCTTATATCTGGTCTTTGACAATACTGAAGGTCCTCAAGTAGTGAGCCATCTGCACGGCGAGAACATTCTAGACAGACTGTGTGGCACGCTGACAGCTGGTCCTCGGGGGTCTGCTCTCCCCATGTTACCCTCAGTGTGCAGCTGGGCTCAGGGCGGTCAGAAATGCAGAGTTCACTTTCCAGCTTTCCTCCTGGCAAGTGCCCCTGGTGAGAGACAGTGTGGCAAACCCAAAGGCTAGCTGGCAAGGGGACGGCTGGCTGGGAGGTGGCCCTTGAAGCTGTGGGAGGCGAGGTGGGCGGTGCTGAGTCACGACAGAGAACGGGTGTGTGGGCCTCTGCAAAGCAGAGCAGGCCTGGACATCTGAGTCAGGCATTCCCCAGGGGCGATGGGGTTCCAGGGCCTCCAGGAAGGGCCCTCCATGCACAGCAAGTGTCGCCTGCCCTTGCATGTGGAGGTCACGGTGGGTGGATGGCCTCAGCTGGGAGTCTTGCAGGTGGCAACAGAGAGTTCTCTTCTCCTGAAAGAAGGGAGATGGGGGGCACACAAGATGGGAGTGCACACACGATGAGCAGGTGCACAGGACCGACCTGGCCCACTGCTCAGAGATGGGGGCTACAGCTGCACTGGACCTACAGAGATCCCGCCATCACCCAGGAAGAGGCTTGAAGGAAACGGTATCTTACAAAGGCATTCATGATCCAATGTTGTTTTTTTTTTTTTTCCTTGCATTCAGGTGCCACCCCGGCCTTGACTCTGAGCCAAGACAAGGTTGCACTGTCGAGCTGCCCTCTGTATATAAACCAATCAGAGGAGCAGGGAGACCATCTCAGGAGGCTCCTGGGCTGTGATCTCAGGTTCCCAGCCACTGGTCCTCCAGGCCTGGTGGTATTATCTACATTGGAGCGTGGCCAGGGAGTGTCAGCCACGTGGGAGCGTGGTCCCTGCAGTGAGGTAAGGAACACTATACTGGGCTCCAGGGCCCTTTGCTGCGACGCCAGCTTGGCACCAACAGCTGTGTGACCTTGGACAAGCCGCTCAACATCTATGGGTCCTTCATGCCCTGGAAGCTCCTGGTCTGAGCTGCCTACCCACCCAGGGACCCACACCCCTCAGGGCTGCATAAGAAGGGGATGCAGTCGCATGGGAAGTCAGGCGAGGAGCGGGAGGAACCGGGAGCCCAGCGTGGGAGAGTGAGCGGCTCAGGAAGACAGCAGCGCCCACGCGGTGGGAGAAGAGCAAGAACCCGGTCCCTCTCCAGGTCAGTCTACAGGGAGAATGCTTCCCAAGGCCAGTGTCTGATCTGTGGTTTTGTTCTTCTTTACGGTGAGGGGAGGGTCACAGCCCAGGTCCGAGATCAAGGGACAGATGAGCAGAAGGATCAGGTGACTGCTACCGCTGGCAGTGGCAACTATGAATATCTATATAACTAGGAGTATGTACAATGTACTGGGCACCCACTAGGGATGCAAACCATTCTAGAAAGGACCATCACAGAATGCTACTGCAGGAGCAAGAGGGAGACCAGTTCTAACTGGGAGAGGGAGAGGAGAGTTCATTCCAGGAAGCAGTGTTTGACCTTGAAGGATCAAAGACACAGGCAGATGAAGGACCAAAGGCAGAGACGGGAAAGAGAAAACTCTAGAAATGGCTACTTCTCGAACAGTACAAGAAAGTGGTGCTGAGGGTGTAGCAGCAGAAGACCTGGGAGGGTAAGGGGACCAGACTGGAAGGCTGGGAGCAAGCTCAGGCAGCCAGGGAGAGGAGCTGCTGACCACCCGAGTGGCTACTGCACCAGTCCAAGCCGGAAGGGAAGGAGCAAGAAAGAAGGCTTGGCAGGAGGGAGGGGGTGGATGTTAGAAGGGCAGGACTGGAAGAGCCAGTGAGGGGAAGGTAGGGGGAGGGTGTCATCAAATGGCTGGGACTTGGAGCCCAAGAGGATGTTGTCCAAAAGGTGGGACATGGAGGTGATACAGATCCAGAGTGAGCGGAATGCCCAGCAGAGAACCTCAAACGCTGAGCTTGAGCCCAGGACAGAAACACCAAATCAGACCAGGAGCATCAGGTGAGTGACAGGTGATACAGCGCTGGGGGAAGAACAGGGGCGGTGTGGCAGGGACAAGCCCCAGCTCTGAGGGAGAGAGGGTCAGGAGGAGGCAGCAAGGGTGTGGACGGGCAGCAGCGGGCAAGAGGTGAACAGGACGCTGCTGGGTCCCCACAGCCAGCAGCAGCACATGACCCCCTCTCCCCACACTGTCTTCTCGGACCCTTCCAGGTTCCGCCGGGTCTGCTCTGAGGCCAGGAGGGTGGGCAGGCATCTCCTCACTGTGGCCTTGATGCACTGGGCTACACGGGGAGGCATGGAACAGGGGGGCTGAGTGTGGGGAGCAACTCGGACTAGACTAAGTTACTGGAATTAAGACTTATTCTATGCATCTGCTTTCCCACAATATGGCGCTGGGAGAGGAGCAAACAGCTTCTACCCAGCTGCCTCTCACCAACTTGACAAGCTGTAGGAGCTGCTCCTGATTGGAGGAGAGCAGCGTACTCTGCTTGTGGGTAGCAGAGTTGGGATTGGTGGAGGAGGACTATAAAGGAGGAGACAACATGCACCAGGAACATCTAAGGGGAACACCTGTGCAGCCCCCGAGAGAGCCGGCCGGCGGTGTGCCGCTCCCCCGCGGAAGTGGGGAATGTGGCAGGGGGAACTGCCCTTCCACAGAGGTGGAAGGGACGGTAGCCAACCCGGGAAGAACCAGCAGCAAACCCGGGGAGGGCCGAGCAGACGAAAGAACAGCGCAGGGTCCTGTGTTGTTCCCCCACGAAGAGGGGGAGCGACATAATGGTGCCGTGACTCGGATAGGAAGCCTAGGCAGGGTTTAGTGTCGTTCCTCCACGAAGAGGGGGAGCGACAGCTGAGCATCACCACACCAGGGACAGCGTGTGGACCCCTGGCCCTGCCCTCCAGCTGACTGTGGGTGGGGCTCTTGCTTGTGTGCATCTACCTGAGCACCTGCAGGGAGGAGTGTGGGGAGGGAGCGTGCCAGTGGAGGCCTGGGCACTGAGTGACGGCGGCACGTGTGGTGAACCCGCCTGGCCAGCACGCTGCCTGGTGTCATTGATACACGTCATGCAAGGCGAGGCGCAGGGATCAGCTGCCGGAGAGGAGCCAGGGAGTCGGGGGCATACCCTGTCCCTAACAGTCCTCAGCTTAAGCAGAAGGAAGGCTAACTTGAGGTTAGCCAGCTCAGTGGCCAGGGGGTGGAGGTCTGGGGGTGAAGAGAAAAGAAAAGCACGGGCTTCCTGGAGCCCTCGGCCCCATGGATTCTGCGGCCAGAGGAGACACAGGGAGCTGGAGAGGGGAGAGAGTGGTTGCTTTGCCCTTCCTGGAGCAGCACCCATGCTGTACCTCTTTTTTGCTTTTGTTCCTTTTCTTTCATTTCTAAAGGCTTATTTACTTATTTGAATGGCAGAGTTAGAGAGAGAGACAGACAGACAGACATAGACACAGGTCTTCATCTGCTGGTTCACTCCCCAAACGGCTGCAAAGGCCAGGGCTGGGCCAGGCTGAAGCCAGGAGCTTCATCTGGGTCTCCCATGTGGATGCAGAGGTCCAAGCACTTGGGGACCATCTTCCATTGCTTTCCCAGGCACATTAGCAGGAAGCTGGATCAGAAGTGGAGCAGCTGGGACTTGAACTGGTGCCCATACGGGATGCTAGTGACGCAGGTCCTTTACCTGCTATGCCAAAACACTGGCCCCAGTAGTTCTCATTTCTTCCACCTCTCTTCTCTCTTCCATCCCTCTCCTCATTTCTTCGTGCCCTGTTTTCACAACATGATCCCACTTTGCTTTTTAACTTTCAACCTTTTTTGCCCTTCAAAACTCAGGCACTTTGCCTGCAATGATGGCCAACAGCCACTAGAGGGTAACCAAGTCTTAGTTGCAGCCCTAGCATCGGGAGAGTAAGAATGATCCACTGAGAAGTGAATGATCATTTTCCTATTCAATTTTGCACTAAACAAACAAACAAACAAACAAACAAACAAACCAACCAACCTCTGCTGGGGCTGGCCTTGCAGTACAGCAGGTTAAACCACAACTTGGGATGCCCACATCCCATATCAGAATGCCTGGTTCAAGTCCCTCGTACTCCACTTCAGATCCAGCCTCAGGCTAATGCGTCCTGGGAGGCAGCAGACGGAGACTCAATACCTGAGTCCCTGCCACCCATGCAGGAGATCTGGATGGAGTTCCTGGTTCCTGGCTTCGACCTGGCCCAGCCCTGGCTGTTTGGGGCATGGGAGTGGGGAGAGAGTAGTGAGACACTGATGGAAGAGCTCTCTTTCTCTTTCTTGCAAATAAACAAGTACTCCCCCCCCCCTTATTTATTTGGCAGTCAGAGTTAGACAGTGAGAGAGAGACAGAGAGTTATAGACAGTGAGAGAGAGACAGAGAGAAAGGTCTTCCTTCCGTTGGTTCACTCCCCAGTGGTCACTACAGCCGGCACTGTGCCGATCCGAAGCCAGGTGCCG